AAGAAATGTAACGGAAATTAACTTTACCGGCTGAAAATCCCAAGAAAGCCGCCGTCTTTCCAATTTTCTTGTTCGACAAATCATATTCCCGAATCCTTTTTATCGTTACGTAAACGGACTGTTCTAATCTGCCCATCTTGTAAACAAAACGCATATTTTTTTATTCCAGATGTTTGTTTGTCTCGATTTCATGTTCATATTGCTATTCGTCTTTTTTTCTCACACTGCGCTGTGATTCTATTCCATCCTTGGCTTTGAAGTGCAGAATGATTTAATAATATTGAGAAAATGTCAGGATTTGCTCTTTAAAAGCAAAGGTTTCCAAGAAATCGACCAAACGGCAATATGATTATAAATCCCACAAAAACCACGTTCTGATTTTGTAATACTTTCTTGTAATGTTCGAACACATTTCATTATGATGGGCAAGGCTATACCGTAATTGCCTTAGGTAGATTATTCGAAAGCCTGTGCGATTGTGTTTTTAGAAAACAAGGACGCCGTTTAAGCTCGGATATCAAACATACTGCTTTTTGACACGGCGATACGTTAGGAATGATTGATGTATCAGGTCGCAAAGACTTCTGAAACATCCATTTCAAAAGCTCTGTCCACCATCTTTGAAATGAGCGAACATTACCAAGAACGTGTTATGTATTCCGAACGTGATTTGAACAGGTGACAATTATGTACGAGTAAAGGGTATTGAACTATCCCTTGAGTTGATTACCTGAAAGCCTTAGCTGTCATGTTATTATTCTACGTCGGGTGGATCCGCAGTGCAATGTCAAATGAACTGATTAATTGCCCTATTAAGGTAAATATCATCATCTTTTTTCCGAGGTTGGGTGAATCTGCATGTGCAGGCGAATTTTTTTTTCCGCCAATCCTATTAAGTTCACACATAATTATGAACTCCCCCACGCGACCTCCACTCATCACGTACAAATATTTTCTTTGTCATCTAAACACGATGACGAGCTTGATCTGTGCACTCAATTTGTTTTGCTTCTTCTTCTCCTTCTTCTTCCACTTATTTTTTATTGATAATATCATTATTATTATTATTGTGATTGATATTATTATCATTGTTGTTCCTCTTCTTTGTACCATTATTAATATTACTACATGTACTATCATCATCATTCTACTATTTTACCACAGGAGCATTTATATGAACAGTAGGTTAATGCTATCAACGCTGTAAAATGATTTACGCCTACGTCACCCTCGGCGTACGATCGGTTGACGAACATTAAAAGCTGCGACCGTCGATAACTATTTAACAAGAATATATGATAGTAGGTGCTCAGTTGCCGAGTAGTTGCCGAATGTCGTACGAAAGTTGTCCCATCATCAAAGACTTTCGTAAAATAATTTGCGACCTCTCGTGGAAATGTTTGCGAACGGTTGATTGATCGGTAATAATCTACTACATAGAACTATTTACACAAATCATTTTTTTTTTATCAATTTAGAATTAGTGTTGCCTGTGCATTAAGTAAGAGGAGAAATATCGTCATTTGTTTTTTTAATGTGAAAAAGATATGGAACGACTGTAATAATATATTTTACTTTATCCATACCTAATCTAAGATGCGAGGAGAAATTCGTTGATCAAGGAAAGGAGCAATTGATAAATCACGTTTTAATTCTGGTAAAGTATTTGAATTTCATGGGACGAGAACGGAGTTCATTTATAACTATGTATGAAATTAAACACAGTTACAAAGAATTTGGCATCGATGAGAAATACATTTCCCCTGCATCTGAGAAAATGGGAAAACTGTGAAGTTTTTAGGGAGAGCGAGTTAGATGTGGAACGAAGTCAACAACTTAAGTAATTTGGTTATAGTAAATAAACCTGTCCAAGAATGCGTTCCGTATCCACACAAGTAAAACTAAAATGGAGGAAGAGGGGGATGGGGAAGGGAAAGGGGGAAGGGGAAGGGGGAGAGGGGGAGGGGGAGGGGGCGGGGTAAGTCCAATGAGTTAGAGAGGAGGAAAGGAAGGGATATATGTTTTGGGTAGATTGGAAAAGAAAAACTCATGATTTCAATTCTGTATAATATGTTGAGAAATATGAAACTCATTTTTTTGTTAATGTATCTAAATTTATTCTGAAGAAAAAAAGCAAAGCTTGTTCTAGTTTTGGGTATTTTGGGTATAATTTCCTATTATGTAATTGTGATCTATTTTAGCCCTATACATTGTGAAATCATGAAAAATGGTTTATGTTGTATTTATGTTCATTCATCAAATGATAAAAAAAGCTTTATGATTATGTCACACTTTGTAAAAACCTAGGACTATGGAAAGTGCATTGTTTCTATGTCATGTACGGAAAATAATTGAAGATTTTGAGAATGGAAAACAATGCATACAACAACAACCTAAAAAAAAACGGTCGGAAATCAATATCCGACAGTCGGTCAGCTTCATAATCTGGGGAGAGGGTATAAATCAATGACACAAACACGCACAACAAGAATTTCTTCCTCATTTTTAGCAAATGTATTTATTTAAATCTTGTTTACACCTTATGCTACGATCACAAAGGTTCGTACGAACGATAATTTCGTACGAATCTCCCTGTTTTTCCATTGTCTTCATGAATTTCCATTGTCTGAAAATCGTTCGTACGGCATTCTTAGCAGTTCGTAATGGCATTTGTAACCGAGGCTTTACTCTCTGTGATCTTTTAACTTACTCGTATATATAAAAAATAGGTTCCACTGAAGCCGATTATTATAATAAAATGACAACCATCGGCATGACAACAAAGAAAGAGTTATAGACATGACAGAGAGAAACTCGTTTAAAATGGAAGTTAGAAAGATGATGGTAAAGCTGCAAAGAACAGCCTGAGAGAAGGCAGCAAGTAATGGAAAAAGGAAGTGAAATGGGAAGAACGTTATGAAAGGGGAGGGGATTTTTTATTGTTTTATTTTTATTTTTCGACTGACTGCCTAGCTTGAAAGAATAAAAAGTAATAATTGATTAAAGTAAACAACATCCTGACTATAAAGTCAGCAATAGATCTGATAATGATCATAATGATTCACAGCATTGATGACGAACAATACGAATATAAATATAGAAGACAAAAATCAACTGGCGATCAAACTACAGGAGAAGCGATTCACTTTCATAGTTTCCTATGCCCCCTTTCGCTCATTTCTTTCAATGGATACAAACATAAGAATAATGAATCTGCAAGGCAGCAGTAAAAGTAACAAGAGAAAAGTGTCTACACTAAAATTCCTTGATGGTTGTCAGTGTTCGGCAAACATTTGGAGAATTATCGGCGACTGATCATTTATCCTTCGTCAATCAGCTGTCGACCTTTCCTCAAATACCGCCTGGTAATAGTCGGCAAGCACTGGGAATAGGTCGGCGATCAGTCGGCATTCATTCTGAGGCCTCCAGACTGACCAGTCACAGTGGTTTTTCGGAGTCGGCGGCAACCAGTCGTAGCTCTAGTGTGACTTTATGATATTGACCAAAGACACAAACGTACAAACAACACGTACGTTCTCGAGTGACGCAATCATTTCCAAGGAAAAGGCGACGTGGAGAATCACCAACTCACGCTTCTGAGCTTCAGGGATACCATAATTATGGACAGGATGCGGATGCCACTGCCACTGGTTATGCCTCCAGTTTGTGGTCTAAAGATAGGATTCTTATCTTGATATCACATTTTGATCAATGCAGAGGGTGGAGAAAATGGGGTTATAATAGAATAACAAGCGACATGATTGATGTCGAGATTGCGAAATTATGTATATGCGGTTTAGTTAGAGGTGGAGAGAGTATAGTACATGACCCCCCCCCCCCCCCCATCCCCCTCTCTACCCGACCATGTTCTTGTATTAGTATTATTGTCAACATTTCGATTGGAAAAGAAATGGGATACAATGAATGTTGTAATACCTTGAATTTCAGCTTGAAAAGATGATAATAGTAGAAAATGAAACTGAATTAAAGCACGTGTGTTTCAGTCAGAGTTAATCATCTCTGTTTTTCTAATTGGCCGGTGGCCAAGAGCAAACAGTGAAATGAATATTTGTTGAAAGAATTGCATGTGACGAGCATTAAGCTTTTGCCACAGGAATGTAGAAAATACTTGAATAAAAGACGCATGATCTAAAATACAATAAAACATTGTCCGAAACTTACAGTTTTCATACATTCGGAGAAAGGTTCATTCAAAAGCACTGTATTTCATTTTCAATTCCTCCCTCAATTTCTCCATAATAGAGAGAAGATTGAAAGCCGAATGCATTTTTTACATATTTTTCCAGGCATCAGCAGCCAGAAACTAGAACGAAAAATTACACTTCGTAAGCTAGGTTTCGATTTCGAATAGAATTATTGATTCTATTCCACAGTCCTGTTCTCCTTTCCGAAATGTATATTTAACATTTGAGGTGCAATAATTATAGTTTGTCCGTTTATGATTTAAGATACATCAAGCCTCTATTTCACCCTCTCTCTCTCACTCTTTCTCTCTCTCTCTCTTTTAAGTCTCCTTCCTGCTCTATATCTTCTTTTACTAGTCTTCTCCTTCATATCTCTTCACTCCCCCTTCCGACCACCTCTCTCCGTCTCTCTTCTTCTCTCCCCGTTTCTCTGATATTTTCACGATCTAGTCCATCATTAATCGATGGATAATTAAAAAAAAATACAAAAAATGTATGGTGTGCACGTGCATTTTCTCACATTCCAAATGGCGGCTTTTTGTTACCATTTCGTAATAAGCGGGAAAATATCATACCGGTGAAAAACTAAGCAGTTCATGCATGCCTGCCTCTAGTGACGCATATGATAACATATTCCAGTAGTTGTTGATCTAGAAAACGTTATTTTGGCTGAATCCCAAAAGACCTGCATGTTAGAATGGTTAACAAATAATAAGACATTCACTTTTGTCAATCTACCGGAATAAAGGTGGATTGACTGCTACAAGAAGAAAACAAGTGAAGTAGCGACACAACTTGATGGTAAAGAGAAGTTACAAACTCATTTAATAAATCATTGTACCTTTAGGTGAAAATTAAGTGCAAACAAAATAAACAGCAGAAATGCTGCTGTTTACTTGTGGTTGATTGCTATACAAATGTATCATAATATGCAGTAGACCTTTACATAAAAAATGCATTTCACTGGAAGAACCAGTGTAGATGCAGCTATCATACCCCCCCCCCCCCTCCTTTCTGGGGAAATTTCTGAATCTGAATATACCACTGATCATTTGTTACAGTGATATGTTTACCTGTATAACATCATGCATAACAAGAAACAAAGACAAATAAAAATGAAGGGAGCTAGTTGGGAATATGGAAAGAGACTATATGTTTCTTTGTAAAATTGTGATTGCTTTTATATATGCACGGTCATGCTGAAGTATGCCACCGCGCTAGAATGAAATAAACAAAACGAAACTAAACTTCATTGTACATGTACTTGATACTAGTGTGTATTTTCATTCTATTCTGACATAAACTGATAAAGCTAATTTTAAATAACCAATCCATGAAAAAATGCTCTGCCATTAACAAACATCCACTACTAAGGCAAACTCTATGTGTGACTGTTTCAGGTAGTAAACATAGCACCCTGAGCACATTATGCCACTAGATCTATTGTGTCGATATATTGACTCACACAAACGCATATCATAACATCAAATATTGAAAGACAAAGCTAACACTTTATTGAACTTTGCTAATAAACCATCTTAATGAGTGAGCAAGCAATTGTTCACCAATGGATTTTACAGCCCCCCTCACAACGGTATTGTTGCTGCAATCAATATTTACTGTATCACGCTTCAGTCCTCCTAGAAATGAGCTTTTTTCATGATATTATTTTTTCCTTTGTTGAATTGTAGGGATGGGCACAATGGATGTGTTCAACTGTTAGTAATGATTGAAAAAAAGGGGTGACAAGCAATTATAATGGTTATATTCAATTCTAGATAGGAGCCTACCCAAACCCAACAGCTGTGGGAGCTCAAAATAATTAATTCTATCAATTCAAAGAAATTATTAAAAAAGACAGCTGATAACATAAAGTTGTTACTGTGAATGGGCTTACTAAACAAATACATGCAGGACAAAACCCTTTATAAACACAAGTACACTCTCCTTAATCACTAAGTTACTGCACTTGCTAGTGGATATGCACAGTACACAATGTACATGGCATATACAGCAGGTTCAGAAGAGAAATAAATTGTCTCTTTGAGCCATAAGGGCATTAAATCATATTTAACACAGTTTTATTAAACGCCCTTCTGTCTCTGAACAGGCAATGTGCAAATATAATATGAAAATGGGAAAGACATAAGTAAACTCAGAGAAAAACTGAATTTTAATTGAACCCAGTGCAACAATGCATGCTACACAAACTGGGGAGGGATGCCATGGCACTACGTATGCTTCTATATTGGTATGATGACATCATATTACCAGGGTATAGAAATGAAACCGACTAAAGGTTCTCGCAATATTTAGATTTTACAATTAACAGAGATTCACGTTAGCTTGGGAAAAGAGCTTAGGGATAAAAGCTAAAAGCCATCATATTCATGATTTCCCTCCAGATTAATTTGTATCAAAACCCCCAATAAATGTTAATTAGGCTACGTGGTACTATGAAGCAACTTTTCTCAATCCTTGTAGATGATAAGCAGAAATATGTGAATAATAAATACACACATGCACATATGGATAGCGATACAACCTTGATCTACAACCGGTTTTCATTAAAAGACTTTAATTCAGCAAGCTTCTTTGTTCGCAAAAACAGTGATATCATATACATCAGTACATTTTGGTTTAATACAGATGATTAAATTGAACAAACATGGCATTCTGAAACTCCCTTATTATTGAGCATGCCTCTTTAAGGGCTTATTGCAAGGAACTAGAATTCCTGCTTTTGTTATAAAAATGTTTTATTAGCCCTTGGAGGCTTTGACTGTATTCAAAGATTAAATTGAATGCTGCATTTGTATTTGAAGGAAGCTATCAAGAAGTTATTCTGAATGTTTATTCTGTTTCGGGATCATCAAATTATAACATATTGACTAAATCTTGCCGAAAATCACAAGCCATTAGAAACATCAGGCACAGGAATGGGTACATGGGCCTTCTTTTTAACAATAAAATATTGGTAGCAACCCCTCACTTCTTTAAAGCCCCATCTAAGCAAATATTTTGTAGGGAGCATTGCCAAATCTGACACTGTCGAGCGATACCATTGTTTAGATCATAACTCAATGTTCAGTAGAGCTTGAATGGAACAATCAGTACTGAGCGAAGGTTCTATCTCTGTTCATAGTCATGTGATCTTCAATCATACAAAACAAACCTACTTTCAGTAGGCCATTGTTCGTAATGTAACAAAATTTATACTTCAGTGCCTGATACAAACTATTTCATTCACCTGTTACAAGTAATTGTATTCAATAGTCAGAATGCAAATTGCATACAAGTATATTACGTGTTGTTCGGTGGAGTACGCCATAATGTTTGTCCTACCTAATGTAGCAAGAAGGAGGAGGGAGGGGGGGGCATGATGGCCCTCCTCAAGTTTTTGATGAAAATGTCTATTTTATTAAAAATTCCTGTACCTGGTATTCATCAAAACACATGTGTACTGATAACTGATGAAAGAAAGCTTGATGAAAGTGGCTTCATGTGCAGAGCGATTTTGATAAACCTGCTACAGGTTAAATACCAGTTTTGCTATATTTATGACAAAATACCTTCATCATGTTTTTGCATTTTAAACCCAAAAGGAATCATATACCTTTCTAACTATTAAAAAAAGAAAGAATGAGATCATCAAAGCAAACAAAATTTGAAAGAAAATAATCACGAAATTAAGAAAAGGAAGAAGTAAAGAAAAAAAGTTCAAACGCATTAAGTGTGCAGAGCTGATATACCCCTGTGATGACCTTCTATGATTATTAAAGATATACCTTGATGTAAATCTTACAAACATTGTTGATCCCACATGAGCTAGCTAAACTGGCACAGACAGGCCTAGAGTAAATATGGCTTTTACTTGAGCAGTGCTGAAATACCACCCTTGATCAAGTTCTTGAATCTCTCTGATCTGGTGGGTGAGCCGCTGGTGGGTGGAGGAATGGTGGTGATGGCAGCAGGGTTGCGGGAGGAGTAGGCGTCGCCATGGCGAGATGTGGGAGGAGCTCCGGCAGCATCCAGCCGACAAACCCAGTACATCATCTCACGGTCATCCTTGGCTGCAAACAAACATTGGTGGCCATTGGGAAGTCTACAATAGGTCAGACAAGGATGATATGATCGAAAGAAAAATAATGGGAAAGATATTAGTACAATGACTTTGTTTCTGTGATCATGAATATGACAGTACCGGCAGGCCCTTAAATCAGGTCATATCTGCAAAAGTGTAATGCATAGAAGATAGTCAGATGGGGCATCAGTTTTAAAGCAGGAAGTTCATTGGCAGAGTGCATATTTTCTTTCAATCATAGTTTAAGGATCTTTCATACTTCTGCCCACTCATATATTACATACAAAAACAGACACATCCATGTTCATGGGACCTCTCTGTTTCTTCAACCTTAAAAAAAGAAGAAGCCAACTGAATAGTTATCAACATGTTACAGCATAATTGATGAAACTGATACATGGAGTAACCATGTACATATAACTACACACAGGAAACAGAGGGGAAATAAGCCAGCTGGCAGACTCACGGTAGGTTTCGAGAGTTGCAAAAGATCTCATTATTGAACTATTGCTTACATTAACCCTAAAGTAAATGTGCTACTTTGAAACCACATGATCAGCTTAAGCAAACCACACTTTCGACTGGTTGCACTTCCCCATCTCGGTCTCTGCGAGCTAGGCTCATCCCCACCGTCCAAGGTCACTCACGCGGTCCTGTATAACAATTAACCCTAAGAAGAAATCCCAAATCCTTGTCAAACAACTCTTTAGCCTCTGCATTCGATGTGCATTTGATAGTGAACTTTGTAATTGATTGGTGAAGTCAGTGAAAGTAGTCAATAAAAAGAATAGAATATGTGTGAACGATTGATTGCAGCTTTCTTAATTTGACCGCTCCGTTTTAAAATAACTTGGTAACATTTTACGTGTCATGTTAGTGCACCATCAAATTCTTCGTAGGTTTATGTGCTATATGCGACTGCATATGAGTTTGCGGAGTGACCTTTGACCATACAGAGGAGCCTAGCTCAAAAAGACGGAGAAGGGTGAGCACTCAATAGTGTGGTTTGCTAATTACATATAAAATTGACAAAGTAATGAAATTAAAAGGAGGAAAGATTTTCTTGTAAAATATATTAAAAGTTTAAAAAAATGAAACTCACTTGAAAATACAATTAAAACATCATTGAAATATGTTATGTTTATATAGAAATTAAATTAATAGGGCTTTTTGATAATATAACAACATATCTTCTTTTATATCCCTTATTGTAAGATTGTTGCATTTTTATTGCTGACGTCACAAATAGTTCACCTTTTCCCAGTAAATAGTGAACTATTCTTTTTCCCGGCCTCCCCCCAAACTGGCAAAACTCAGCGAGCGTACAGGATTTCAAATGCCTCCGCACGGGCAACTCCTGCGGTGTCAAGATGCTCAAACCATGCAATTTACACTGTGCAGTAACTGCACTGCAGTACCTGCATAGCGCCAGCTAATATATATCCTTCAATGTTTAATTTGAACGTGCAATTTTCTTTTATTCAATTTCTGAATGTGATGTGAATGTGAGTACGGTATATGTTATTACAGAAGTGTACAAGGAATGATACAGATGGAAGGGATATAAAACAAATATACAATGACTCATTCTCGGAACAAGCTAAAACTATTCACACTCAGGAACATCATTAGTACTATTCTCACAAGGGCCATCTTCCTTGATGCTAATAGTTTGAGCTACATCCTCGAGTGTCACTGTATATTTGTATACTATTGACTTTATTGCTTTTTTCCAAGAACACACAGAGAAGTACAGACAATCAAGGTTCTCCATAAAATTACAGGTTAAGAGATAATATTGACACAATTAAACTATAAAAGGTGTCGAACAAACTAATGGATTTGTTTGCACACTATAAAAGCTGACGTGGTTGTAGGGTTTTTAAAAAAATCACCTTGCCTTAGTTTTGGAATTCACAAATGAACAGGAAAAAATAAATCAACTAGGGTAATGAAATATTTGGGAGGAGAGGGAGAAGAGATAAGAGTGGGGAAGGGAGAGGAGGGGGGGGGGGGGAGGAAGGAATGAGAATGAGAATGAGAATGAGAGAGAGAGAGAGAGAGAGAGAGAGGTGGGGAGAAAGAGTAGGGAGAAAGAAGAAAGAACACAGAAAGGCAAAGACAGAGTGAGGGAGTGAGGGAGCAAGAGAGAGAGAGAGAGAGAGAGAGAGAGGGGGGGGGAGGGGAGGAGGGGAGAAAGAGTTCGGAGAAAGAAGAAAGAAAGAAAACAGAAAGACAAAGACAGAGTGCATGAGGGAGCAAGAGAGAGAGAGAGAGAGAGAGAGAGAGAGGTAGGGAGAAAGAGTTGGGAGAAAGAAGAAAGAAAGAAAACAGAAAGACAGAGACAGAGTGAGGGAGCAGAGAGAGAGAGAGAGAGAGAGAGAGAGAGAGAGAGAGAGCAAGAAATGTTTATCTATCCCAATCAATCTATAACTGCATTAAATCACTCATCTCACTCCATGATTGCTTCTAAAAAATTATCTTCCTGCCCCAGCTCCCAACTGCCAGCAAATTGTTGGCTGTGAGCTGGAAATACATTTTGTGCCAGGCATGCCAGGGAAGTATCAAGAGACCTGGGGACACTCCCAAGTAGGCTTATTCTTTACGTCATACCTCGCTTCGGTCAATATTTATCCAATAAAGTAGACAGCTGAAATTCACCATCTCAATGCCAGTAATTTCTTATTTCTCTTCATAGAACAGGAGCAACTTGAGCAATGCTTTGTCATCATTTGGGGTATAAGAGTATGTTTATCAGTCCATTCTCAACAGCTGAAGCTATTGCTTCATCAAATAAAGATTTACAACAAAAATCCTAATCATTTCATGGAGCGGAATAAGTCTCCGTTTATACTGTAAGGAAACCTGCCATGCTACATGAGCTCTTACATAGTAAAGCAGTTACATGACTCTCAGAACATATACTGAAGTTTACCTACAACTTTACAAGTAACAACATAGCCCCCACCCCACCAACATTTCTTGGATTATGGTATTTTTTGTATTCACAATAAAGAGGAATGACAAATGAATTTTAAAATGTTGATCTGCTGTCACTGAAAATTGTCCAAATGACCCTTTAAGGGGCAATGTTCAATAATGTTTAAACTTCACTTTATTATCTTTTTTCTTTGTTTTATATACATGCGTATTCATATATTTTATTGAGGGTGGCAAAAACCTTTTCCACTAACAAGCAGCTTTCAAGAGAAACATAAATATGTACTCCAAGAACCAATCTTTCATTACAAAATAAAGAAAATGACAAGAAATGTTCTAGACCACTCATCTCTTTGGACTGATTTTGTATCATATCATATGGGCACAAGAGTTAAAAAGTAGTTCTATAGGTGTATATCATATTAGTTAGAAGTGACATGTATAGACTACAAGGTATCAGTCACTGTAACCCCACACCTAGCACACCTGCCCGCCTCTAAGGGTCTAGCGTACATCCGGACTTGGTGAATCCATACCAAGGTATGGTGTTGTCTGACAGCACTTAGACCCTGCAAAATGCTCTTCAATTTTAAGATATCCAGGTATTTCTTCTACATTTTCATTTCCTCTACAAGACATTGCTATGGGCACAGCATTCGCAATTAGACAAGTTTGGCTAATAATCACTTACAAGATTAAATGATTAAGGCAGAAGCTCAGATGTGTCATTCATACGTATAGTATAGAAGTATAGAAGTATAGAAGTAGGAAATTGACATTAGCTGGACATTTTGGGAGATACACTTCTTCATACAGAATTACAGATAAATGTATTCATTAAGAATCATCTTGTTTCCTTTGGAGGCATTTGGCATACTGGTATCAAGTTTGATCATGATATCAATAAAGTGGTGAAGAGTTCATGTTACATAAGCTTTTATCACATTATTCCTCAGACATGATAACATTTACGGTAGATAAACATACAAATGGATAACTGAGAAACAATGCCACCAGCACCACTTTCAGCCAGGTTGGTGGGGAAGGGGAGGGACATCAAAACATTGAAAGATCCCAAGACTGAATGTAATAAAGTTCGTCCTATGCACAAACATAGTTTGAAATCCCAATGGTGTGAGATTTGACATTCATGCACGTCACCCATATCAAGGGGTGAATGTTGATTTGTTGTGCCAGGAAGTATATGTCTGACAAGTATCCATTTTGAAGACTCCATGACTGCAATCATAACATACTTTGTCTTCAGCTGAATCCCTTAAAGGCCGCCATGTCAGTAACCACCAAACAAAGACACATTCAAATAATGGATAGGTAACTTATTTATATTTCCAATGCTGACATGGGAAGAAAGAGCTTTGAAGATTTTCTGGATGCATTCAGATTTGAATGAATTATATATATTACATGATTACAGTAGTACTATGCACTTAGACATGTACTTGATCAGTCTGATATAAATTCATATACAGTATAAGTATCATATGATGATGATGATGATGATAACCATGTCAAGCATGGTTGATTCAATTGATTGCTAAATCAAATTACAAACAGACACATCATTAAAACCTGTATTGCATTTGCATCCACCACACTCCATTTTATGAATACAATTGTCATGAACAAAATGAAAGCAAATGTTATCTTTTAGATTCAGCGCATATATATATCATCTTTAAAAGATGGCATCGGAGTGAACCTGCCACGATAGATCACATGCTTGTCAAATAACATCTCTTTCAATCTTAGGAATTACAGACAACCAAGACACAATGAAATGAGATGTTTAAAGGGACCTTACTTGTGATAGTCGTGGTGTCTGCTAATAGGCCTATACATTACATGTACATTATATGTATCACTTCTGATATTTGGCCTTTGATTTCTTGCAGTATCAAGAAAGACATTCAAATCTGGTCTATTTAACATTATTTTGACAGACTTTGGCTACTGTATATAATCTACAAGGTATTTCAGCCTGTGATAGCGCCAAAACACAAATTCACAAAAATCAAACTAACAAAAGCAAACCAACAACAAAAGAAGAGAAAAAGTGACAATTTTTTTTGAAATTATTTGGAATGTAAGTAAAAGTATGAACAGGTACTTTAAAAATTAAAAATAAATTTATGGGCAGGTTGGTAGCTTACTTCCCACAACATGGACAGGACTGTATGCTATTTAATACATTAATATCTTCAGAACGTGAAAGTTGAGAACATACAGCATAGCTCGAGTTATCATGGAAATTTGACATGTGTGGCAAACCATAAGATATTCCCCTTGGGGGAAATACTTGAGCATGGCGCCTCCTTAAATTACAGAATTTGAGTACTTACAATTCTGCTCCAAGATATAATATCACCAACATCATCTTCTAAGAAATAAAAACACCCTAAAATATACTTTATCGATATTGGCGGCAATCCTGTTTTATTCAACTGAACATCTCACATTTCCCAGGGACCGAAACAGATTTCTAATAAGAGAAAATGTTAAACCAATTGCAATGAATAAAAAAGGCATTGTTTGAGGAATTGTTTTTGACATTAGCGAGGAGAAATTCATTTTTTCTTTATCACATGACAATGTTGATACAAGTATCTCTGATCAATATACTACATCCAATATTGAAGAGCATTGTGTAAAGCCCCATAAATCAACATAATAGTAAAATATATAATGAATAAATTCAGAGATACCTTATGTTTATTTTTTCTGGCCATCAGCCATCAGCCTTCTAAACAAGTGAGATGCACAAATATTTTTGTTCCCGATCATTTTGATGTTGTGGTACATTTCACTCAACTCTAGAACACATTGGCAATCAGCCACAATCATGGTCTAACCATGTGTGAATTATTTTGAATTTCACTTTGTCATCTTAAAGTGAAAGATTTTTAAAATGTTGGCAAAGGATGAAAAATGTATATACTAATTGCATCAATGTTATTTTTTGCAAGCTCTAAAGCTTCTTGTTGTGCCATGCATACTCTCTCTCTCCATCAATTGTCTATTCAGTAATCTAAGAGGAACTGGATAGGAATAGCATACATTGTTTAAACTTGCTTGGCCTGCCTGCAATTCTACAATCTCGGCCGTGTAATTAATGGAATCATTCTTGGGGGCATTTGAGGGCTCTTCTCTGCCGGTCCAATTTCCATGATGAATGATCAGTATAATTGACAGAAACATATCCCTTCACTAAGTCAACGCTGTCTCCCGGTTATATGTTTTCTCGTCTCGCACTGATAAGAGCTGCTTTGACACCAATCTCCTTTTCTTGGTAAGCTTTGGGTTACTTCAAGGAAAGAGATTTGCTCTGAGCGGACATGGATGATCACTCAGATCATAAAAGTACACCAAGTTAAACATCAACCCATACCCTTTTCCAACTACTGTATGTCTCAGTTCTTCTCCTACTCACTTGCTTACCTCCTGCTTTAACTCAATCCTTTCCTTTTCATTCTCAGTCTTCTTTTGTCTTCTTTCCATGTGTGTCACATTTCTCCTTTTTCTATTCTTCCTTCTCTCCGCTTCATTTTTTTTGTAAATTCCATTTCTCCCCTTTCTCTTTTTCACCTCTGTTTCATTTCCCTCTTTTACTTATAATTTCCTTGTTTTTTTACCTAATTTAAGCTGCTTTTTTCTAAATCTACACTGTTTGCCAACTCTGGTATACCAACTCTACTGATATGACTAACATGACAATTTTTTAAAATTCCCAAAACAAGTGCTCTTTGAGCATAGAGACTGCAATGCCAAATGGCTTCATGGGATGTACTGTACCTGTACACAATGAATATATATTTAAAAAACCTAACAAATAGGCAAACAAAAAACAATATAACATGTACAATTAGAACATTTGATAGGTATTCTATCAGTATATAATGGATGAATAAATACTTTATATTCTCTATCACTACTATTATGCACTTGATATCGAAACTACCTTCTATGCAATCAACCCTTTACAAAACAAACACACACACACATACATATACAGGGCAAATAAATAAAATTCCATTGTCAATATACAATAATTCCACCGAGAGATCTTTCAAATAATCTAGATGACAGGATAAATTGAAAGCTATTTTCCTATCAATGATAGACAACCTTGTATCAAAACGAAAGGTTAAAAGTTATCTAGTGTTCTAGGTAACGGTGCTGCATGTCAACAGAAAATGACTAAAAGTCATCTCTCGGTTTAAAGTGAATGGATTGTTTTGACTGTTATGTTTAGATATAACACCAGGGGCAGATCTAGCTTTTTGCTCAGGGGGGGGTTGACCAATAATGACGATGCAGAGCATCGTCCACGAGCCGCGAGCCGATTTTTTGGGGGTGTTTATTTGAACCCCGTAAGTGATGTTTTCCTGGCATCTATTAACACAATGGAGACCATAAAAAGCAGTGCATGATAACGTCTTTTTAAATCAAGTAACAGTTAAATACACAGTTATATCCAGAGTTATCATGTGTTTGGTTAAGTTACCAGATGAGTTGAATATCTTCTCACAATATTTGCACTTGAAAGGGTTTCTCTCCAGCGTGCGTTCTTTTTTTTTTCTTTTTTTTTTCCTTTTTTTTTTTTTTTTTTTTTTTAATGTGGGGATTTTGGGGATGAGAATCGGCAACGCTGGCCTAGCTTGTCACTTCGGCGGTGGCCCGTGTCCTCAAAAAAGCTGATGGGGGGGGGGGGGCAAGGGACTCTGTGACATTTGTTCGCCCAACCCCCCCCCCCCCCCCCCCTCCCCCCAAAAAGAAATAATAATAATAATAATAATAATAATAATAAATGAAATAAATACATAGAAATAGAATAAAATAAAATTACAAGTTTAAAAAAAAAGATAAGATTTTAAAAAATGGTCCCCGGATTTTTTTTTTTGGGGGGGGTTGCAACCCCCCCAACCCCCCCTCTAGATCCGCTTCTGAACACGAACCAGCACAATACACAAACTAGCGCAAATTTAAAATGAAAAGCACTATAATGGCAAACCATCTCTTAATTTTTGACAATATTTCTTGGGGAATGAAACAAGCGAACTTATGGCAAGAAGGATTTACAATAAAATAAACAGAAATCATGAGATGACCAGAAACGAGGCAAGAAAAAGCAAACAGAGATGCCGAAAGGAGGAAGAAAAAGAGAATAAGATTTTTTTTTTAAATGATAAGAAAGAAGGAAGAAACTTACTGGACTCTAAAGGCGTGTTTCCTTATGAAGTAATCCTTAGCAACTGATATGATAGCATTGGTTAATACGAGGGGCTCTTCTATGTGGGCACCTAGCTCCTTGCCCATTCTGTCTTTGTAGAACATCAATCTTGGGCCGTCCTGCTTCATGTACACATAGTGCCAGGCTCTAAGTGAGGTACAGAGAAATAAAGACAGAAATTTGCAGATTAAATCAAGTGTAAATGTATAATTTCAGAACATTATAAAAGCCACTCTTTTGATGTACAAGTAAAAATGAATTAGTTTTTATGGTGGTGGGAGTGAGTGGCAAAACCAGTATGGAATTTCTTTAGAATGAATCCTTACCTATATATGATATACAGTCAAAGTTTTCTTAGCGGCCACCTCTCTTTAGTGGCCATGTATTTTTGTTTCCCTCAAGAAAGAAATGTGTGTTGTAGAACCTGTCTAGAAAAGGCCACCTGCCTACAGTGGTCACTTTCTCTGTTTTCCCTTGGGTGGTCTCAATAGACAGGTTTGACTGTACATGATTTTAAGGGAATCACTGCTGTGATATAGATAGAATTCTTGTTATTCTTTATTTTTAGAAAAAAAACATTAATTTCCCATTCTAAAACACAAATATTGTTTGCAGGAATGCTTTCTTGCACTTTTCTTTAAAAAAATAATTAAAAATGTATTTGTATGCATCAATACCAAACAACCTAGAAGGACACTCTGAAAAACATGTTTTTTATATTTTATTTATTGGCACAGTAAGTGACATCTGTATGAAATCATCCAACAAATTACTCATTGCTATTGTATAACTATTATTTGATTTGATTCAATTTAGTTATTTATTTTTGTCTTGAAAACACAAACGTAATAATAAAAAAGCTCTTTTGATAGACGTATAAAACTAATACAATTTTTATGAACAATAAACTAGTGGCATAGTATAAATCCAACCATTAAAGAGGCACTGGCATCATTAATAGAGTACCTGTCTCACTCAGAAAATGATTTGTTAGTTTTACGATTTCTCTCATTGATTTATAGGGGATGGGTGTAGGAGCAAGTCTTTTTGACTAATTTGTTCATCCTTTTCCTATTTCTCACTTTCCTGTTCTCTCTCTCTCTCTCTCTCTCTCTAAAAAAAAAAAAAAAATAATAATAATAATAATAATTGGGGGGGGGGGGGTGGGGCGATGGGGGCACATGCCCCCTGTTCCCTCATGTAGCTACACCACTACCTAAATATACTTGTGTGATTTTAATATATTGAGCTTATTAAGTATACCCAATATTAGACCTGTATACACTTGGCATAGCCCATGGCACATTAATTAGCATTCACTGTAAATTGTCAACCTTTGGCATACTTTTATAAAAAAATTAATGAGACATGTATTAACAATTCCAGCTACTAAATGCATGTACCAAATTAAGGTCATGATATGGGCAACTTGAACAAACACAATAAAACAGTAGCTTAAGTTTCCAATTCAGTGATAAAATGGTTACTAGATCTGCCCTTCAAGCCATACAAGCACACATCAGACGTGAATCATAGCCTTTTGGTTTTGAAATCCTGTTCTTCAACGATGTGGTTAAAATATTGGATTACTTTTTATTACTCTCTCAGTTTTCTCAAAATAATCAAAGACTAGGAGAAAAAAACAATACCAAGAACAGGAAATGAGAGTAATTGGAAGCTGTGGAAGGTGAAGAAACACTCCAGAGTACTGTCATACTCGAAAGATAAATCTTGGCCGGTAGAAAGGAAGGATAGACAAGAATCGAAATGAGAAAACCACAAGAATATCCAAGCTACAGAACAAGGGAAGTTTACTCATACAGCAACCCTCATTCACGTACAGTATATCACCAAATGACATCAAAATCAAGCCTGTCAATGTCGTGCTAAAAAAACCACAACTTTGTCACTAACTTCCAAGGCTACCTATTATACATGAACTTGATATGAACTTTTTCTCAACTACGATGGTCAAAATTGTCCTGGTCATATGAAATTACGTTTCCTATCACTAGGTGCAGGATATCAAAATATTTCAGGGATAAGCACACTTACACTTCATTCAGGAACTCAGCTTGTCATATCAACATTTTTATTAAGAATACTAAACATTTTCAATTTCAAAGAGGGATGGAAAGTGAGAAACTTTTCAAATCAGCATACTTTAAATAGATGTCACCCTAACTGTGCGTTAGCCTTTAAAGCTGTGTGTATCATACGCATAACTGTCATGGGCATGCAAGTAAAAGATTGAGATAAAAAGTGGCCTCAGAATGGCAATTATTTAAAAAAAGATAAAGCAAAATATTTAAGATACAAAATCAGAATACCCCCTTAGGTTTTTTTTCTTCAGGTTACTCATTTGGTTAAATTGGGTTTTATGCTTATGATTGATTTTGTAAACTTTAGTTAGTCTTTCAATGGCATTGAATAATTCAACATTTTTAATTTAAAATACTTTCCCCTTCACAATGAAGAAATCATTGACTGTGTTTGAGATTTAGAGAATTAAGCATTCCAATGCCTGAGACACTCATATCAAAATATCAAAATATTTTTTTCTTCCATGCAGGCATTTTGGGTGGTTATTATCTGTCACCATAATAATTTTAATATAAAACGGGAAATTGAAAGAGTGATTCATACAACCTTTAAGAACACTGTAAAATGAAATGAAAGCGTTTCTTCAAAAATGTGGGTTTCCGTTTTAAACATGCAGAATCCATTGCATGCTCTTTAGTTTTGGTAAAATAAAAACAAACACATACAGGCTGACAACTAGACTGACATACATACAGACGGCCAAGAGTGAACTTTGTTTCATATTGTTTGTTAGAATATTGCTGATTGAGTCACAAATATGTTAAACAGATACTATTCATTATATACAGTAGCATAATTTCTGTGTCATTAGTGCTAGAACATCTATATGATAATAACGGCCTTCACAGTTGAGTTCATAGACGTTGAGTGGCTATTGATTATCAAATATAACTCAACGGTGGTGGTCCAATCGATTGAAATCATTTCAAACAATTTCTTTTTTTAGATGCAAGTTGAGTACTTTGCCTATTGTGTTTTCTTTTTACCTTCCCCTTAATACAAATAAACAGTATCATGTACATACTCAGTCTTTTGGAAAAGGACAATTATTCTGCATTAATTTTCAAGGTTAGATAGACTGGTGCTACACTTTTTCAGAACCCTTTGTTAACAAATCTAGTAGTCTACATACATGTATCAAATTCTTCCATTTTGGATATGTGAGAAATGATTAGAACCATTGGTATTGGATGTAATTGGCAAGAGGATTCTACTTTTGGCGATTATTGGACTTTCAAAACATTGTCATACATAGAAACAAATTGTCTGCAGACAAATATATTTCATTGACTTACATTTGACATAGAAATTTAATTTCCAAGCAGTCATTTCAGTATCTTCAACATTTTCAGAGTTTTCACTTCTCTCTTTTTAAGAGATATGAACTCTTTGTTTATGACAACTTAAAGAAAATACATAGAGTATCTCAATCCAATGGTATTTATTATCCAACTGCTGGCATTGTCACCTTAAATTATTTGTTAACATCTTTGAAGGACACTTAGAAACATGTTAACCCATCTAGTATATTACAGTTATAATGCATTCAATTATTTTTTACAGAATAGTAATTTCTGTTCCTTTAGCTAAGGGTAATTAATTTTCAATTGTAATCAAATTGTTGTGAAATTAGGCAAATCTAGTTTGTGAAGACCAAGATTCACATGATTTTTTCTCTCTTTAAAAAAAATAAAAATAATAATCATTGTTATTTAATATTAATATCATTATTACAACAATTATTATTATCATTATCATCATCATTATTATCATCATTATTATTGTTATCATTTTGAGTACTTTTATTATTATCATTATTATTATTATTATTATTATTATTATTATTATTATTATTATTATTATTATTATTATGGTCATTATTATCCTCATCTTCATCATTATTATACAAATTTGCATAAGGAACAAACGCCAAATTAAATAATACGTCCAAGGCAAGAGAGAGTGTAATCAGCTCTAATGATAGAGAGGAGAAGGAAGGGGAGTGAGGAGGAGAGAAGGAAGAAGAGGAAGGAGGGAGGAAAGAGGAAAGAGGGAGGAAAGGGGGGTTGGTGGAGGGGGAGGAGAAGAAAGAAAATACTTGTGCAAACAATAAAAGGAAATTGTAAATACTACACTGCATACTACGATACAAAGGAGAGCTAACAGTCGCCCATACTTTGCATGTAATGATGAACTGATTTAAAGTGGTGCTGTTCAACTATGATGATAATTGGCCCCTTGATGATCATTACTGTGCATTTTTTTTTCTTATTGCCATGGTAACTGGTTCGTGGAAAATTATCTGGGGTTTTCCCTTTTCTGACCCTACAAATATGTACCATTATCGTAACTCAGTAAATGCTGACAAGATGGTAATAACACAGGAATATTGAATTACGTGACAGTAATTCAATCTACACAAGTTCCTGTCTTACATTACCTCAACTACCGGGGTAATACAAACAGGACAGGGCTTTTTGTTTTCTAGTTTGTACCAAACCGAGAAGCCCTAGTCAACAAAAGAATATCATGTGCATGTATCACAGACTCTATTTACAGATATGCTTTGGCCCTTATACAAGTACATTATGTTAACCATCTGTCATGTTCAGATGACCTATGACCTTTACCTCTATTGTCCTTTTAAGATTGAATTAGTTGCGTTATGATCTTCCTGGTTAGTTTGACTCGTGTGCAGGCAGCAACCAAAAATGAAGAGCATATAGCTTCAAAATTTCCCAAATGAGCTTTTCGATAGATTTATGAGCTCTCTATACATGTACATATAATTCTTTTCTTTCTGCGAATGGAAAATAAATTGTCACACTGTAGTAGCAGCACAAGGACATTCAATCTATTCCCTTTTTGAGCAGTCTCCAAGCTTGTGGATAACTACATGTAAAGCATCACTGCATGGGTGGTGATTTTGATTAATTTGTGGAATGACATGATATCAGTTCAAAGTTCATTGGGGTCAAACTTGCTTTTAGCAACCATAGGTATACCGGTAAGGCCAAATAAAAAACAAAACATATTTAGCGTCCTGTTTTTTTTTTTAAATAGGAAGGCCCATTTTTTTTCTTTCCAAATTGCCACTCAAAATGGCCGCTCGGTACATTTTCCCTGACAGTCGGGCTATTTTTCAAGATGGCCGCCGACATTTTTTTTTTTTTTTTAAATCAGAAATAGATCCATTTTAGCAGTGTTTTTTATGTTTTTTTCTTTGAAAAAAAAAAAATTCAAAAATTTCAAAAAAAAAAAAAAAAAAAAAATAGGAGGTGGTCCCCAGAAAAGGAAGCGGGCGGGGACGCTATACATGTGTATTTTTTTTAATGGCCTAAAGAACATGTGTATGATAATATCAATACCACTGTAAGAGGGAGGGGTTTGCCCTTTGACAAGCATTTTACATTGAAGACACCATTTATTGAAGATTAACCAGATGCAAAGATAACTGCTTTTCAAGCAATATTTATGATAAAAATGTGATTTTTCAATTAAATCATTAGAACTTCATGAATAACGTAAAATTGTAGTTTAATAAGGTCTCGATGTTGGATTGATGCAGCATCAAGTGAAATGGTGAAAGAAATGATGGAGAGGATCTTACCTGTCATTAGCTCTGGTAGCATAATTCTCCATGACCTGTTTGCGTAATATGAGCCCCTCGGCTGGTGATGCCTCTCTAGAACTATCACAAGAACTCTCAGACTCCTCACTACCAGTCTTACTCAGATCATGGATGTCTTCAAGATGGAGATCATCACTGTCTTCCAGGGAGCTGTACCTTCCATGTGGAGAATGACGGACAGAGAAGGGACCTGACGAGTCTTTAAGGGTCTTCCCACCAGAGCTGATAACACCATTATCCATGTCTTTCCTTCCAGTAGCGATGGGATGGCGTGTCTGCCTTCCAGAGTCTACTGGATCTAGGTTGCTGTGCTTCATGAATCTATTGGCGATTTCCTTCTTGATCCTGACAGAATTGGGAGACTGTCTCTGGCCTGTAGACCTACTGTGTCGTCCACTTTGGAAGATATTGTTTCTGATCTGTAAGCCTTCAGTGACCTGCTTGACTTTCTTTTGATGCATATATTCATCATATAGATCAAAGTCCCTTTCATTCCAAGGAAATGTAGGTTCTTCATGGTAATCAAGCAATGGGACGGTTTCTTCTCCTCGATTCTGACATTTTCCATCCTGTTCCCCGACATCATACTCTTCATCTGTAACACAGAACTCAAGATCGTCTTCTTGCAAGTCATCTCCACAGTGGTTAGGAGAGATTCTATGTGATCTGCTCACGTCACCTTTCCTCATCTCTTCCACTCGCTGCGGTGATTCCCAAGAAAGAAGGTCATCTATGTTCTCACTTCCAAGTTCCAGATCAGTGGTTTCATCTACCTGATCCTGTTTGGTTCCTTTGACTGTGGCAAAGCTGTCTGGTAATTTACGAGGTTCTACAGTTTGTGCATTACTCCCCTTGACATTATCAGAATCATTGGAGTTGTTAGAAGATAAGTGATCTTGATTTTTATAGAACTTAAGGTCATAATCATCATCATCAGAAGTGTCTTCATAATTCTCCTCCTCCTCCATAGAGGCTATCACCTTTCTTGAACCTGTAGTCTTCTTGGCTGCAGGCTGCATGTTCGCTCCACTCTTAGTAACAGTATCTAGAAAGTCATCAGAACTACTGTCAAGTGAAGTAGGGGGAGAATCAAGAGATGCCCTCCAATCTGTTGGTTTAAGTTGGTCATCTCTGTCATTTGAGGAAGCATCCTCCAAGCTGTTGCAGTCTTTGCCATCAGTTCCTGTACAGGCTTCCGCTGGAGCACCCTCAGTGGCGGTAGTTGCAGTGGTCATTTTAGCAGCAGCATTCTTGCAGCTTAGCTCGTTCATGACATCACTGTAGAGATTGTGACAGGATGAGATCACCTCATCCTTCTCCTTCTCCTCGTCATCGTCCTCCAACCCACCCAGGACAGTGAGGTCACCATGATGACTAGATCTATGGAAGACACCTGAAGCTTTGACCTCTTGGCCATCCAAATCCCTGATGGACATCTTCTTCATATTCCTCGTCTTGACATCCTTACTCTCCATATACATGTACACTGTCTTTTCAAGCTTCTTTCTTCTTTCTAGCTCTCTGACCTTGCCTGTTGGAGGATGGCCATCACTGTTCAGGTCAGTGCAAGTACTTCTTTCATGTTGAAAGCTCTCATGCCTTTGAGATTCACCCTTCTCTTCCCTGGCAGATGGTAAACTCTCATCCTCCAATTCTGAGTTAAGAGTATCATACGTTGAAACAGATTCTTGGCTGATACTGCATGCACTGGTCTTCTTTACGATTAGTGAGTTTTCTCTGGTTAATGGAATCGGTTCCTTGACAGAGCGTGCTGTACAGCTCTCCTTCTCCTTGTCATCATCTCCAGTGGTTTGTTTCTTTGGTTGACCCTTGAGTGATTGTTCTCTATCAGCCTTGTCTCCTTTCAGCTGAGGATAGGTGGACTTGCTTGGGCTTGTTGAAAACTTGAAAGCAATCTCTCTGATGGCATTTAGAAGTTCAGCTTTTGCCTACATGGGATACAATAGCAGCAAGATTTTATATTAGTTTACTACTTTACATATTTCCATTGTGGCATTACCTCACTTTGCAGAACAAACTATCACACACACCTAAAGTAAAGAGTGGTGAAGTGTGACATCATCAAAAATGTATTTTTAGAATTTCTCAAATTTTTCTTCATTTTCCGAAAGAGAATCACAAATAATGTTCAATGTCGAAACCAATTGAATATGTTAAGTATTGGCTGAAATATGACCATCTCAATAAAAGGATTTCCTATAGGAGCTCAGTGTTATTTTGCTCTGGTTCATAACATTAGGAAATAGTGAAAGCTTTGGATTCCCGAGATAAACTTAAAAACAAAATATTACAAATTTCAGTCAAACATGTTTTCAACAGACATGGAGCATGAGATAAGGGTGAACAGATTGGAAGCAAAATTTGAAATCAAGAAGAAGAAAATCCTTTTGAATCAACCCGTCTTGTTAAATGAATTTCATGAAAGCGTGTTTCATTTATTGGTCATGCGATTGCATTGTGAAAGAAACGTTGTGGAATCGATCAGAAAAGGGTGATCGTCTAGCATATAAGTATTGGTGTGTACTGCAAGGTTCTGGAATCATCAAAATGATAAGAAATTCGGCCCAGTCTTCGTAAAGTTACAAGCACTGTACACAGAAAGATGTATATGGGACTATACGCACACGTGCGCGACACGTGCGTTTATCTCTCACAGACCATGTAGATAAACTAATTTACCAAACATATCAATTAGAAAACGGTTTCCCGGCAAAAATTTTATCATCATTTATTAGTCAAAACATATTCTTTCACATGATTGGTAATAAGAGCTTTCATTTTCATTTTTTGAAATCGGGGCATTTCCAATACTGGTCTTTACCTTTAAAGAAAACCTCACCCAAGGAAAAACTTTCTTTATTCCAAGAGATTTATTGTATTTTTCCCATTAATCTACAAGACTCCTCACCAAAGTGTATGAGAAAGGTACAAAGCAAGATATTCTTAGCATAATGTAAAAGATGCTTAGCAAGACATGGGCATCGCAATTTCCTTGAACATGACATACTATGCAAAATTGTTTATCAAGTACGTGAATTCAAATTTACGAATGCTCTCTTCCCACATGTGTGGCGAGGAAGTAGTTCCTTTGTACTACAATTGTCAGAATGCAAATTGCATAATTAAATATAATCTTTCAAGATACCTAATCATATTTTTGGAGTTTAGGTTTCCTTTAATAATAATAGCTCACATTTATAATGCGCCTAATACTACGTTTCTAGGCGCGGAACATATTATTACCCCGGTCATCGGATTCAGGCTTACCCGCATACAAGGTGTGCACATTCTCCACTCCCTGGGGAGCATTCCAGCCAGTCGCCATTTTACAAGCGCCACTTGCTAATCAAACCACATTAGCTTTCGCATCCTACCGGGTACCCATTTTAACACCTGGGTGGAGAGTGGCAAATGTAGATCAATGTCTTGCCAAAGGACATTAGTGCCGCGGCGGGACTTGAACCGCGGACCTTGTGATCCACAGTCCAGTGACATATCCACTCGACCACGACACCTCTACTAAGAACAAGGGAAACGCTCTTGGCGGTCTTGCCTGCATAACGCAATTCAATATGATAAACCATAACGTCAATGACGTAGCGCTCATCCGCATCTCGCAACAACAAATATCGTAAATTTTATGTGGTTCACTTTTGAACTGGTCAAAAAATAAAAATTTGATGCCCTGGAAGGGACATAATTTCATTTCATTTGCATAAAGTACCATAAATAATCAATGGAGCAAAATCTCACAATTCTGTGTAGAAGTTTAGTGTTCCAAATTTAGCTCTACCAGATAAAGCAAACCTAATCAAAATTGGTAAAGAAATGAGGGAAAAGAAGCAATTTTTGTTATTTTTGGAATAAATTTGCATAAATTACCATAATTAATTAATGGAGATCAATTTCAAAATTCTGGGTAGAAGTTTAGTGTACCAAAGTTAGCTCTACGATACAAAGCAAACCAAATCAAAATCGGTCGAGAAATGAAGGAGAAGAAGCCTTTTTAGTGATTTTGAATAAATTTGCATAAATTAGCATAGATCATGAATTTCACGATTCTGTGTAGAAATTTTAAATCCCCCTCCTTGCCCTATCATATGAAACAATCAGAATCAAAATCGGTTGAAAAATAACGAAGATGAAGCATTTTGAAAATCTTGATGTTGATGCCACAACAAAGTCTAAGTTTGTTGACCTTAAATGACCTTTGACCTTAACTTTGTGATCTGAAATTCTACTCACATGATTGGGGATACTTGATTACCCTATAGTCAAAGCATTGACTAAGAACTTAAAATTACTTAAAAAATTATATCAAAAATTCAAAAACTTAACCTTAGGTTAAGTTTTTGATGTTGATGCCGCCGTCGCCGTCACCGGAAAAGCGGCGCCTATGTCTCGCTTTTTGCTACGCAGGCGAGACAAAAATGTAGCAAACAATAGGCCTCCAGGTTCAATATCCTGTTTTTATTGGATTATTCTTGTGCAATTTAATCAAAGAGGCGCCTCAATAACACCCACGCCTTCTGTCTGTGGCTATTTATGTTTAGTTCATGTTTAACAAGAGGGCAGGTATGTTTGTAGTCAAGGATACTGTGTACATAATACACCTACAATGGTATGTTGTACATGTGCATTACATAAACAATTAATTACAGCTAGAGCTCACCTGTAGTTCAACTCCTCTCTCATCAGTTGCTTTCTTTGTGGGCTGAGGAACCTTGACCTGTCAAATGTTAAAGAAACAAGAAATACAGAGTGAAAATATGATATCAAGCTGCACCTATTTATTAAAACATAATTTACATCACTCTTTGTTTCAGCTTGAAAGTTCCATGTACTGGTACATATTTGCTCATAACTGCACTAAGGGGTATATGGCATGGTTGCTATTTGTTACTGCTTAGTACTATAGAGTCACTCAGAAATATCCACAAAACCAATGTGCATTAGAATGTGGGGCAAAATCAATTAAACAAGAATAGTTTCAATGAGTTGTATTAAGATTGAAAAGGAAGGAAGGATTTAGCATGGCATAATCACCCCCAAATAATGAAACAAAGCAGCTATTTATGTGTAGCATGCTCATGATCAAGCAGTGGAGTTCCTAGATCCATTTCTAAGTAAATTTAGGACAAGCACTAATGATTAAAAGACTAATTCTTTTTCACTAGACTGGGACATTGCTAAACAAAGAATTGCAAACATCCCACTTGCATTACCCATCAGCCTCTATTGAAAGTAACTTAATTACTTAATCCTGCTAAATACACCCTTTCGCAACAATACAAATGCGCATCTGAAAACATTGATGGCAATGTTTACTCCAAATTAAAATGGCGACCTTGACCGTGAAGGGGTGTGTTAATGAACAAGGGAGGCTGGCTCTTCATCATAAGTCTTTGCTGTAACAGCACCCTGAACATTTCCTTTCATATGATGTTAAAGAAGTAATCTGCACAATAAAATGCCATATCTATGTTACCCAAACATTTCAGTGGTGAATGACATTAAGCCGTTTGAAAATTTAAAATACCGGTACAAATGTATGTCATCAACTTCAGAAAGGTAGTGACTAAATTTATGAGAAATGTATAGTGATCAAAGCAGGTCACAGCAGGTCACAGCCAATATATCATGACGGTCACTACACCATTCTTAATCGTGCCCTTCAAATATAAGTTAGTAAGTAATACTCGAATGCTCTCAATCGACAAAATCTGTTCTAATTTTCTCTCTAATTCTTTCAAAGAAACATTTCACCATGAGATTACATCCTTATTATTCTCCCTTCTTAATCCATTTTTGACTCCTAGTGGTTCATTACCCCTTTCATAGTTCGCAGTGACTCTATCAAGAATTTTGCACTGCAACTTGGAAGTTTATCTGATAACAACACCCAAACAACAACTAATGGATGAGAAGCCAAACTTTACTTCTATTTAAAAGTGATTCCATTTCTCTAATATCCTATAGCACGAGATCAATCTATATCTGCCACACTAGACTCAGGTGACCCAGGTGTAACAAGTGGGTACCTAGGAGGAATAGTTCTTGAAATGCAACAAGAGCTGATCGCAGTTGCTTGAGCGAAAGCTGGAAAAATAATTTCCAAACTTTGCAAGCGCAAAGGGATGTTATATCATAATACATGTATGTGCTATACAAGAACACTTTATTATAATTATTATCGATGAAGTTTACCTGTTGTCTTGGGGACTGGTGTTTACTGGCTTTCTTCACGCACTTGCAGAGTTTCTTCCTCTCTGAAGCCAAGTCTCCGATGTCATCCTGAAAGCCGCACACCATCCCCTGCAGCTCCTTCTCTCTGTACTCAAACTCGGCAACGCGACGCTCCAACTCATACTGAAAATGTGAAAATCAATCACAAATGAATTTGATGACCTTCTCCCTTCTTTCACTGTGTGAATTCCTGCATATTCATTTTAATCTTCAGGTAAAAAAAATTGTTACATATAACTGATTTTTTTTTCCTTTTTCCCCAAAAATGCCGTACAAGGATGCAGTTTAACCCTCAGGGCCGTTTCATATAACTTTCTATCAATAATAAATTACAATTACTGTTGCAAGCTATTTAAATCACTGCATTTGATTGACTGAGAGAAAATTTGTCAAAAATTTTTAGCATTTGTTATTGATATCAAGTTTTATGAAACAGGACCCAGCTATATGAAACGAGCTAGTGATTTTTCTTTGGAATATAACATGGCACAGATACAGTCTCAGACAGGTAGAACTGCCAAAACTGATTCGTTCCCAGACAGACAAAATAATGTTAATGTTACCATCATGTAAACATTTTAAAATGCTAATAATATACATTACTCGATATTATCCCAATTTAAATTTTTGAATCAATGAAAATGTTCACTGAAGATAATCTTAGTTATCTGTTCTATCCGCACCCAGGGCATAGTGTGATGGATACCTTTGCCTCTTGCAGCCTACGAATCTCTCGGTCTTTCTCCTTCAGCACAGAGTCACATGACTGGATCAGATGATCACATGACTTGAGTTCTTCTCTCAGCTGCTCTACAGTCTCCTCCAAACACACTGTAAAACCAAATGATTTATGAGAACAGTAAAAGCATGTGGGTGATTAGAATACTTTCCTTAGATTCTAAAGAGACAGTATTTAAATTCTTTATTTTCAGTGTCAACAAATGACAGGTGGAGTCAAAGAAAATAGCTGCATATACACACACACAGAAGGCTAAATTTGTTTTGCTGGCACAATCCTGGCTTTAGGCAGCTATCTTGTGATGTCAGTAATGTCATGTGCAAACAACACTTTAAAAATCAACTACAGAGAGCTTTCATTTGAAGCAAGATAACGGCAAAATCTGAAGTTGAATCAAATGCGAAGTATTTGATTTGATAGGTACCTTTCTCTGACTGGAGCAGTGTGTTAAGGCGGATGTGTCCTCCCAGCTTATCCTTAACACCCTTCAAGTCTTCATCTTTCTCTCTGCACTGTGCACTAAGATTCTTCAACTGAAACGGATAACAACATTGTTAACATAATTTTAAGCCAATACTCTAAATGTCTCCCCTACAATACACTTTGTAACATAAACTAATCATATCATTATGATTTTTGTACCAAGAGGCAACACAACCCACTTTATTCCAGAAGGCTACCACATAACTCATGACCAGACAGCATAGTAACTTTTATAGAACTTGGAATAGATTCGATAATCTAAAAGTGTAAGTTCTTTGTGATCAAAGTGCAAAATGGTCTTAAAATAATAGAATCAAACTAGAGGGCTATTAAATGCAATCCAGTTGAAAATGCAACTTATCAATTTCAAGAACAAAGTATGCACTTTAGATATATTATCATCCTTATTATGTCCCATAAATCAACTCTTTCCTTAATTATCTTGCCAATCTGAGAATCGCAAGGATGTTAACCTCTTCTACCAGAGACTCTTTTTTATTTATTAGAAGATTACTTTATCAGAAGATTCTATTGGTATTCTCACCTGTACTTCCAGATTCTTCTGATTTTCTTTATACTCTTCCAAGAGATGTGAGAGATAGAAGCCATATCTAGGTATCTCTGTAGCTGTGATCAAAATCAAAATGCATGTTAAGTTGTTTTGATAAATAGAAACTTCGAGTATGATCCGACCAAATATTTTTTATTCATCAATATCCATTTTCTTTATTTTTGATTAATTTCAAGATTCTTTTGACATCAACTCCATTTTAAAGGAACATATTCTAACAGCACAGTAAATATATACCTATGTATCTATAAAACATCTTCTTTACGTCTTACAATGGGGGGGGGGGGGGGGCTAGTTGATAAACAGTGTACATTAATCATTTATTTTTCGAAAATGTACAATTATAGAATAAGACATCTAATGTTGCTATTATATGAAGCAAAGCCTTTCTCTCTTCTAGGGTTAACTCTTTATTAATATCAGATAAGAAATGGCTGTGTCCATATCAGAAAAAGCTCACTTTCCTATATTCCTGAATGCTTTGATAAATGACAATTACCTTGTGGGTAGGACATACTGCCTTGTGTTGGAAGGAAGCTCCCTGGCCCTGGCCCTGGCCCTGAGGACACCTACAAGTGGAATCAGAACATACATTGAAAGAAGTCACCATTCCATTGCAAACAATACTCCCCCAACTTCACTATACAAAATGAATGAGTAATTATGCCATATATGATTTTAAATGATTTAAAGTAAATTTTAAGAAAATAAATACTATATGTTGCTTACACATATGGTTAATTTCCTCTACCTTTAACTCAGAAAAAATACCCCTCCCAACAACAACAAAAAACACACACAAAACCACACAAAAATCAGTTGAGACAGATAGAGGGAAAATAAAACCTAATCAGGCAGTTTAAATTAGGGGGATCGGGATAAACTTAAACTATTGGTCAATCTACTCAATGCATCAATTGCATTCACAATGCTTACACGAAATACAAGTGACATATGATATGAAAAGGCTGGTATTGGTGATCGGGTGTACTATTTATGCAATACAATTGAATTGTGGGAAGCAAGACTGCACATTGAATATGATTATCATGATCATGATTATTGGCAACAAGTTTCCAATTCATTTTCAAAGTTTCAGCAATAACTGAATGTGAATATGACTTTATCAAATTCTTATTCATAACATTATAATGTAGGGCACACTCACACAAACAATACTAATTAGAGTAGGCGGGTGTATGCCCCGATGGGAGAAAAGATGTGACAACGGACGAAGGAATGGGAGAAAAGGATCTGGGGGTATTATTTGACTCAGATCTGTCTTTCTGCGCCCATGTAGCTGATGTCTCCAAAAGAGCCAATATCAAGTTAGGAATCATCAAACGTTCTTTTTCATCCCTTGGATCCAGTGGCATGCTACAACTATATAAGACCATAGTACGCCCAACACTTGAATACTGCAATGCAGTCTGGAGACCAACGTACCTAAAGGATCAAGATCTATTGGAAAAGGTCCAGCAACGTGCTTCGCGACTCATCCCAGATGTGAAGCATCTAAGCTATGAAGAAAGACTTAAGACACTCAAACTATCATCACTAGAGTACCGTAGACAGAGGGCTGATCTTCTTCAAATATACAAGATCATGCATGGATTGGAGGCAGTAGAGAGGAATGACATATTTGAAATCATCAAAGAATCCAGAACAAGGGGACACAGGCTCAAAATAAGGAAGCCCCGCTGCAAATCTAAGATGAGGCAGATGTCATTTTCAGTGCGGAGAATTAATAATTGGAATAACCTTCCTGAAATTGCCATAAATGCCTCATCAATCAATAAATTCAAGTCAGAACTTGAAAATCATTGGAAGCACCATCCGCTGAAATACCACCCATACCAACGCGAATCCAATGCAGTAAAGAGGGGCACATAAGCTGAAGCTTCAAGCCTCGACACCAAAGTAAACCAAAGTAAGTAAAGTAAAACTCGGATATATAAATTGAGTGAGGAGTAATTCTGTCTCGAGAGTCGAGGGACAATCAACTACAAACACCAAAAAGATTAGGTGGGCACTTACACTTCAACGTCACACAACAAATAGTAACACTCTATTACAATAAACAGATATTCGTATTCAAAACAAACAATTCCACACACTGAATTAGTTTTCACTATAAAAATGCTTACATTTTGTTTGTCTCTGAAGCTATAAGGTGGATTTTGGTCAGCTTTTAGATTGAAATAGTCGACACGTTCAACATCTGTTTGGACCGCAGCATCCGACAGAGAAAATTTTAGTACTTTTGGCGAGAGATGGCGCTCGACCTCTGCAATTTCTGTACTACGACATTTTGTTCTTTCTTGAAGGAGATCTTCGTACAGCTCACAGCAAAGTTTTCTAGATGCCTCTAATCTGCAAGTGAACAAGCATCACATAAAAACTGTTTGAACAAAATATTTCTTCCAGACCTTCTCATTTGCATTTTTACCTTGCTAAAATATAATTACGACAAAATTTTGATACAGCGCATAATAATGCTTACCCTTCATGTAAAGCTCGTCTTGTTTCAGATTCTTCTTCGAGAGTTTTTGTCAAGTTGGTAATCTCATCCTGTAAAGAAAGACAATTTTGTTTTTAACTTAAACAAAACTAATGATAGCGAAAATAGGGCGTTTTCGTAAAACCATATGCATGTACAAAACATCACAAACGTGGGAGCGTTTGTTGTTTTGAATTTTCGTTTCTTATTTTTCACCATAAGCAGGTTGCTGACGAGTGCCTTTTTAATTCTAAATTCTCTGAGAGCATGCATGCTGTAGAATCTCCAATCATCCCTGATCCCTGGCCCATCAAGATAATTAATTGGCAGCGTTTGCAAACAACATTCAAGTTACCCAAACATAATTATAAATTATTTAACATTTAAATCAGCGAACCAACTTACTTGATACCCCATGTTGGCTTTGTGTAACATCTTCGTAGTTGCTTGAGATTTAATGAGTTTCTCTTCCTGCATAAATAATAAGATATGCCATATATTTCAAAGTAATGCTAATCTTTCGTTGAGGGGTATAATCAGCCTAAAGAAATACGAAGAAGAACACCAATGAATTAAGTTTTTTCCAAACACATTTTGTAAAGAAAAGGTACATTTTTTGTTTGACATGCCTTTGCCAGGTTTCCATAATATAATTAATCCTCATCTTGATATTCATCCACAAAATAACCCTTTCCCTCCCACCCCTTCTCTCTTTCTCGACTCTATGTACTTCTCTCTGACTCTGTCTGTATGTCTGTCTCCCTCTCCTTCTCCCCCTCCCTCTCTCTCTCTCTCTCTCTCTCTGTCTCTATTCATATATTATAACACTTTAGAAAAGAGAAAATGGCAAACATTTTTTTTAACATGACATCATGCTTTTAGAATTTAATCTATAGTCTACTTATTACCTTTTTAACTTCACCTCGACTATATTTTTAAAAAACATTTATTTCCCACTTACAATACACTTTATTTATTGTTTATTGCCTCTGACACGGTTGATGATGTCAATTTATAGTTTGTTAAAAAAGGAAGAACTGTATAGATCTAGGTCAATTTTGAAGAAGTTACAATTTTATTATTAGAAACATACACTTTTCAAGTTTGATACATACCAATTGATGTAGCTTCCTAAAGTCACGCGTATGACCATCTTGCTTTTTCCCGTTCTGTTCATTCTTATTCTCCTCTCCTTGTCCTGACTCGGCACTCTTCCGGAGAGCATCGTCTTGTTCCTGAGGTCCTTCTCTATCGTCATGATCGTCGGAACCGACAGAAGAAACGCTGTGTGCTTCAATACCACTTTGAATTCCCTCATCTCCGAAACCTTTCAACTTACTCTCCAGATTCCCTCTCTCTACGCCCTCCTCCTCCATGGGCGTCACCGGAATCACCTCAAACTCATATGTCACCAATTCCTTGTCCAAGGCGGCCTCGATGTCAATCAGACTCACCGACTTGCGAAGAACTACGTTTCGCTCCTCATCATTCACCACTTCGTCTTGGTGATCATCACTGACATCGTCACGTGTGTTCTCTGCTGCGGCTCCCTTGTCTTGTCTAATGTTGCTGGGTTTGGTGGTCTTGAGGGTGAAGAGCTGGAGAGAGGAAGTGCTCTGACTGGTTCGCATCTTCTTCTTGTTGGTAGCCGCGGCAGGATCAGTTATCCAGAACCAACCACCTGTCGGGTTCGGGTTTGGCGTTGCTCCGTCTGAATTGCCCTTAATCAATAAATAAAATGATTTCATTAGGATATAATAGGGCTTTCCGGACGATTAACAAAATCACTTTTGGCTTCGGATTTAACGCAAGAAAAAAAGTATGCATAAAATAGTACTTGCCACTGTCATCGTTTTAAGAGATTTATCAAACATTGCGTGTAAAGTTCTCCAAATCAACAACTTTCTGAATAACTAGACACGTTCACGACGTGTATGCTGGGACCATAAAGCGTGAGGCTCTAAACAAAAACGAGAACAAATTAGACTTCTTCCAGTTCTTCTTCTCTTTCTTTTTCTTCTTTTTCTTGATCATCATCATAACCATCAGCACCATCATTATCGTTATAGTATCTTTCATATTCCTCCTTCTTTTGCTTATCTTTTTCTCCTAGACCTATATAGATTCTAGATTTACATCTCATTTTCTTTCTTCTTCTTCTTTCCTTTTTCCTTAGTTCTATTTATGCTTATACTTTTTGTACTTTATCTTCTGCTTCTTCTTTTCCTCCTCCCCGCCCCCTTCTTTTTCTCCTTTTCCTTTGTTCTCCTTCTTCCCGTCTTCGTCCTCGTCTTTCTCCTATGACAGGGGTTGGTGACAGTCTTCACAAACATAAAGACTTCTCTTATGCCTTAGGATTTAACGGAAAATATTCATGAAATAACACTAGCCTTCTTCTTCTTCTTCTTCTTCTTCTAGCTCCTTCTTCTTCTTCTTCTTCTTCTTCTTCTTCTTTTCTTTTTCTTCTTCTTCTTCTTCTTCTTCTTCTTCTTCTTCTTCTTCTTCTTCTTCTTCTTCTTCTTTTTCTTCTTCTTCTTCTTCTTCTTCTTCTTCTTCTTCTTCTTCTTCTTCTTCTTCTTCTTCTTCTTCTTCTTCTTCTTCTTCTTCTTCTTCTTCTTCTTCTTCTTCTTCTTCTAGACGTATAACTTAAGTTTAAATGAGGTTTCAAACATCTCTTCTCTAATCGACAATCAAACCAAGCGTGGAGTCGATTATTTTGTAGTATTATAATCACTTACTTTTCCATCTTCCACGTTATCCCCACAACCCGTTGAGACTGCATTCATGATTAAAAGATCCGTTTTTCCTCTTCTTCAAATTTTGGTTTCTCTCTGTGTATGATGATGATTTCTTTTGATCCTCTATCATAATATTGTCAGTCAAAAATCACAAATTCAACGCCTCATCAGCGCACAGCTTTTGTAAGGCGCGTAGTAAGTCGTCCAAAATTAGAATTCGCGCAATGTGACGCGCATGGATACAGCACCAAGGCCAAGCGCTGAGCGCGATGTGGGCTAACTACTAGATCGAGCTGGAGGCTTGAGGCCGGTTGGTCAAATCAAATGAACGGCTTGACGAGGAGCTATAGGATCTGAAGAGAGAAAGCAGAAACAGGAGAAGAAAGAAAGAAATAAAGAGGATGGCGAAGAAGGAGAGGAATAAAAAGGAGAGAAAAGATAATAAGAACAAACACAAGAAAAACAAGACACAGAAGGACGAGAAGATGACTTTTTTTTGTACAAATTAATACACCCTACCCGCACCGTGGCTCCAGTTAAAACTCAGACGAGCCTGAGGACCAACCAACCAAGATGAAGAAGAAGACGACGAAGAAGAAGAATAAGAAGAAAAAGGAGAAGAAGGTGGAGAATGAGAAGGAAATGGGAGGAGGAGGACACGGAGGAGAATGTTTAAAGTTAGAAGGAGGAGGGGTTGAAAACTAGAAGAAGAAAATAAGAAGAACAAATTACAATGGAGACCGCAGAAGCAGAAGAAGAACAACAACTTCAAGTCTAGAATAAGAAGGAGATTCAGTCAAATTTAGAAGTAAAAAAAAAAGAAAGCTTGAGCTAGAGATAGGGGAAGGAGGAGTAGAAGAAGTCAAATAGATATAACAAGTCCGATAAGCAGGCTCGTATAGCCACGGGGGGGGGGGGGGGGGGGCAATTTTTTTTCCAAGATCAATTGAATTTTTTTAGACCCCTCCCCAGGACGTCGATCAATTACATTGTATGTGCCCCCAAACATCATACTCTGGCTACGGCCCTGCCGATAGGAGAATTTGAAGAGAAGAAAAAGAAGAGGAGCTAGAAAAGGGAAAGCAGCAGAGTATGCAAATGAAAGCTCCAAAAATATAACAAAATAAAAAAGTCTTTAACCGATTCGCAACCCTAAAAATACACGTGAAATCAGATAAGAATTAGTTTGTTATTATTTTTAAGATTAACCAAATGAAACAATTATTTTTATTGTAGCCGTGTTAAGGCTGACAATTGATTTCATTTGAGGGAGCGTTTTGTTTTATCACGATCTATTATAGGGACTTGGAAAACACTTTATTTATTGTTAAATTTAAATAGTAAGATTAAACTAGAACTTACGTTTGAAGTTTGATCGTTATTTTATGAATAATGAGAGGGAAGAATGATTCTTGCATTAAGAGTTGTGAGGAAAAAAACGGATTATATTCATGGAATTTGAAAGTGGAGGTCAGCAATGCAGTCATAACATGTGTTATATACATGGAAACTCTCAAATTTTTTGAGTATGCAAATAATTCAGCTATCTATCCTCTTAATTCTCAAACTCATTATTTTTCTTTTGCAGGCGGATATTTAACCTAAAAAAGTCTGTTCTCTCGCCGTAATGGAAGAAGAAAAACATTTTGTTTACTCAACGGATGGGAGTTATACCCCGATCACACAATCATAACCAAATCGCCAAGAAGAGATCCTCCATAATTAAGTACTTACAGCTTCTACGTTCAGTATCGAGTCCATTGCTTATTCGAATTTATTTTTAGATTTTCTATGCTCAGGTTTTTGTCTGTTCACTTATAATTTTGTTATGAAAGATGAATCCCCTGCACCTGAAACCCACCCTCACTCTCTCCCTCTCTCTCCTTCTTCATCTGTCTTCTCTTTCCTTTATCCCTCTTGCTATTTGTGTCTGTCCGTCTTTATTTCTCTGTCTGTCCGTCACACATTCTCTTTCTCTTTCTCCCTCTCTCTTTCTCTCTCCCCGCTCTCCCTTTCCCCTCTCTCTCTCTCTCTCTCTCAGTCTCTCTCTGTCTCCCTTTCCCTTTCTCTCCCTTTATTTACATCTGAAAGTAACATAGTACACACACCCAAAATAATACAAAGAACGAAAATGGAACAACTATCAGGGTCTGATAAATGGCCTGCAATATATTCAATATAACTCACACATCACATCACTCTATTGGCAAGACTGTATAAAAATATATCACATGATACAGCATATTTCAGAAACATACACAGCATTCCACAATACAGTGCATTGAACTTAAATACAGAGTTTGTTTCAATATATTATTAAACCTGAAAACCTTGTAATAAATTTGGCATTGTTCATGAAAACAGCTATTATGTGTTTCCACCTTCAAATCATTTCTCTGTGCGAAGAGTAGATTTTACAATTTGATCGGAACAGAAATTGATTCGCCTCCATCAATATGTAAAGTCTAAAGAAAAATCAAGTAGAAAAACCCCCACCTACTCTGAATCACAGGAATTATACAAACTGGCTATGACATTTGTTTAGTATACAATATATCATATTCTGGGAATGGAAATATACAAAAAATACTTTACCTCACAGATAGCACTGCATTGAAAATATATGAAAAATAATTGGATAACGATAGACCTAATATGCCATAGAATATGTAAGACTGTACTAATAAAATATGAAATCTTTTCTATTGACTAACATCAAAAAATGCACACTAACAAACTAATTACATGATGTCATATGCAGGAAGACATGTACATTCTATTTGGAAATATATAGTGATATATGATAACAAGTGAGCTAGACTAGTTACATAATCTACATATGAAAGCACACTTGCGTTAAATTCTAATTGTATTCAACATAATTCTAATTCCTCTTTAAAAAAATAGAAAAGAGAATGATTTATAAGCCCTTCATATTCTGTCAAGGTAGACACAAATTACCATTCCTGCATGCATTTTCATTCTCCTGGCTAACATACTTGTTTGTAGACATTGAGTCTTCTCCACTTACTAAAGTTTCACTTGTAAAGAATTTGATACTGCAGTGCCTCATTGAGAGTTAACAATACAAAAGCAACTCAAGTTACAAATGCACTGTATATTCATGTATTCATTTGACAAAAGACAGCAAGTGCAAATGGATATCCGATGGTGTGGGATTAAAGCAAGAGAGAAAATAATTTCGATTTATAAAGAGCAACAACATCTTATAATCTAGAAGCAAGTTTGAACTGGTTGAAATATACATGCCCTATTTTTTCTATCACAATGAAAATGTAAATTGTTATTTGTACACCAGTAAAAGCACATGTTTTGTAATAAATATCTATTCTGTACTAATAAACAACAAAGTATATGATTTGCTTAAAATAATCACAGGGAGGTATTGGTCCAGTAAGATACTCCCTTCTAGATCCTCAAGATATACCACATGGGGGACACAATGTTGCACATAAATCTATGAACAATGTATACAATAACATTACCACATCACTGATACCAGATATTTGCTTATTCTTTTAAGCAATTCAATATTGTTCGAAATAATGAATATATTAGAGATACATACATTTGTATGTTGAAACAAAGAAAAATGTATAAAAAAGATCACCAAAAAAAAAACCATTAGCAAGATATAAATGTTGAAAAAACAAATGACTAAATCATAAATATATAAAAAGATGCAGACACTTATCCAAACTAAAACAAATTTAGGTCAAGTACAGGACCTTTCAGAATATATACAAAATAATATTGGAAAAGATCATGAGCTACCAGCGTAGGCATAAATCCCTTGGAGACAAGCATGACACAAGAAGTCTTTCATAATCCTCCTCTTTCAAGATTATATATAGCTACTTACTGGAGCAGGTGTATCATAGCACTGATTGTTTACACTGGTTGATATGACAACCAGGGAGTGTGCTTGGGGTGACTGGTTGGTAATAATGATAAGAGGGTTTAATGGAGGAAGGAAAGCACTGTGTGGGGGATGTTTGCATGGCATCATCAATCAAGACTAATCAGAGTAGCATAGCAACTGATTGGTTGGTTAATGATGAGCTCACACAATCCAATCATTGCATGAACAATAGTGCAATCAGCCTGGAATGAATCCATCCTTGCTTTTGTCATATTACAATGTATATTAACATATTTACATGTAATACATTTTCCATTTGCAGTACTCCCCTTTCACTTAACTGTATCCTCTTAACTTCTTCTTTTAATGAGGCCTTTTGTGTTTTGTGTTGTCACACTTAATTGGCTAAAAGTAGAAGTATAACTTCTTCCAAAATGGAGAGCTATAAAGGCTTATTCTGATATGACTCAGCAAAACTGCAGCGTTTTTTAATGATGATGTTAAGTGTAACATGCCTCACATTTCTGTATCTTATAACACAGAAATAATATTCTTTGGTGGAAAAAAAAAGCATTACAATAAGACAATAAGAAAACAACTACCACTTGGCATGTACTGTAGTGAAGTAATCCAAAGCAATATCAAAAGCACAAAAGATAGTTTTAGGATTGGAATGTCTCAATTAAAATCAATTTAAAGCTATTCCTACCTGGATATGACACAAGAAGAAACATCTACATGTATTTTTCAAAATGTCAATATTTCTTCATATCAAATCATTCTGCATAAAGCATAAATGATGAATTTCAAAGAAACCTTCCATTTCTTATATTAAATTAAGATTTTTGGAATATAAATTAAATATAAAAAGTGTAATAAATATGATATGAATCACAGGAATATTATTATTACAAGTACAGGGTTTCAGAGAGGAACAGCTCCCTTAATTTATAGTCATAAAATTATATTTCATTTCAAGACATACTCTTGGAAAATTGTGCAATTCTATAAATTGTATTTGCGAACAAATCTTGTTGTAAGGAACTGCCGACATGTACATTTAGTAGGCATTAAGGTGTGCTTCATATCTGCACTCTCAGCAGGCTCAACCGAAAGCACACTATCACTAATTGACAGCCATTTCTTGATTGCTGCCAATTAGATTAATGTACAGTCTCTCTCTTTGTTTGTTTATCCAATATGATTGATTATGTCATGCGTAACCCAATCTTGCAAAGGTAGTGCGTGCTTGCCCTAATCTTTTGACAGGTACACATGAACATGTAGGCAATAATCAAATACACAGAGCTGGCAATGGGGGAGGGGGGGGGGTGTAAGGTGATTACATGTATGCACATCTACAGTGGCTCTACAAGATGCAAGGGAAGACTTGCATGAGTTCTGATTCAACCCAAGCATGATTACAATCTGATTTTTTTCCTCATTTTGAAAAGCTGAAACCATCATATTCTCAAACAGCAGATGATGAAAAGTAAGAAAAATGATACAAAAACAATCAAATGATATAAAAGAAAATCAAGAGATATATCAATACATGTAATAGGCCGACTCTAGGATTAGAAATGCTAGCGAATGATTGACACAGAGAAGGGTTGGCTTGCTTTTCATCATGAATGATGGACCCATGAATGTATCTAAAAAGCTTACTTTTACTCTTGCCCAGTGTCATATCATTTCTTGCGGGGAGGTGGCTTGGGTCTATTCTTGGTATTCTTGCAGTGAGGAATATGCCTTTCAGCTGTGGCTGGATTGAACTTCCGATTACAGTAGGGGCACTGTTTATAGTCTGGGTTCTCTGACGGGGGAGGTGGAGGGAGATCAGATAGCTTGCCCCCCTTAGCAACGTATGCCTGTGTCTCACGAGCATCTCGTATCGATCGTACAAACTCTTGATGCTTACGTTTCCAGTTTGACGGCTTCACCTGCAGCAGAGAATCAAAATAAAATGATTTGAGAGGTCTTTGGTTAGAAGAAAAACAATAACGTATTTCAAACTTTGCAATGAGCAAGTTAGTCTGAAAATAAATATATCTAGGATGATTGATAGAGCAAAATATATTACCGTCCCTAAAAATTATCTGACTAAACCTAAATACATGGACATATCTGAAAGTCAGATTGCATTTAAAAACATTTTAATATTCATTAAATTGCTTCTGTTGCTATCATTCTTTGAAGGAAGTCCATAACCTACTTAATAAACTATGTTTTCTGATATACTGAACCCAAAATCTTACAGTAGCCTGATTGGAGAACAAAATTAAATATCAATAAAATGACTGATAAGCCTATAGTGTACATGTCAAATACTTTCCATGTTAATGTAAAACATTACAATATTTTTAACACATATTTGATCTGTTGAGAGCTAGAAGGGCATTATTAGTCTACATTGTATGTGTTAACAGTAATGAGTTAATGCCCTTCTCGCTCTCAGAAGATGATATGATTCAAACAACATACACCAATACTACTCACCGGTGGATCATTTTTGAGATGCTGGCCTCTCCTGACATATTGAGCTTGTTCTGTGCCCTCAGTCCGATGCTTGGTACTGTCAAAAACCTTCCTTTTCTTCCGAGATGTATTCTTACATATTAATTTATGCTTTGAAAGTCTGTCAGCTGCAAACCTTCTCCCACATATTGGGCAAGCAACTAGATCCAGATCCATAGCTTCTCCTTCATCATCAATAGCTTGATCATATAGAGTGGTATCATGACGAACGGGTGCAGGTGGTGGAGCGAATGGTTCAGGGTCTGGGTCCCGTGGTGGTGCTTTGCGTTTGGGCTTTGGTTTTGGTTTGGACTCTTGTCTCTGTCTAGATTTAAACTCGCCTGCTCTGCTCTCATAATCATCATCATCATCATGGTAATGAAATGAATCTGTATCCTTGTAGCGAGGAGAGGGTTTAGACTGTGGTTTTGACTGCTTTTTCACAGGTTGCCTGTTCTTTTGAACTGGGAAGGAGTCCATTTCGTCATCACTATCATTATCCATTGACATTTTGGCAAGATCTTGCTTGTGTTTGGCAATCATTGCTTCCAGCTCATGTTCCTTAGCCATCATATCATCATACTCATTCTGTCTCCTGGTCTTGGCAGAATCCATTTCATTTGCCAGCTCCCTGTCATAGTCCACAGTATACTCATTGTTTGGTTGAGAGAGATTCTCAGTTTTGTTTTTCTCACCATATCTGTTTAAGCGTTCCTGCCTCTCCAAGTCCTGTTCTTCCTGCCATTTCTGAAAATCATTTTTCTTGTCTTTCTTTGCTCTCATTGGGGGTTTATTCTTTGAGATAGGAGGAGCAATCTTCTTGCGATTCAATTGTTTAGCTGGCTGTGGTGTCAGATCATGCGTGGTGTTCAGCTTGTTTGGTGGAGGAGTTTCATGATCGATTCTTTGCTTTGAACGATGAGAGACCTTCTGAGGCTTGGATAGTGGTTTCATTGGATAATCTTCTTCATCATCATATGCTAGATTGCTCGATGTTTCGTAGAGGTCATAGCTGGGTGATGGAGGGCCATGTGCCTTCGTCTTTACAGAATCACGTTTAATGGGTGCAAGGGGGTTTGATCTCATCATACCTTTGCCAGGTTTCGGTTGCTGTTGCATTTGATTCTGTTGCTTATAATTGAGCATTTCCTGCTGTTTCCTTTCTTCATGCCGCTTTTGCTCCTGAAGATCAGAAATTTTCTGAGCTTGTCTATTTTGAATATAGCTTGCATCATATGTGCTTGAGAGATCACTTTTCCTCTCTAGAAGTTTCTTTTGAAAATGTGTATCTCTAGGCATGATTTCAGCCGAATGTTTTGATTGTTCCATTTGTTTACGCTCCCTGAAGAAATCCCTCACAATACCCTGCCCTCCATCTGTACCAGCTTTACTTCCATGACGGGTCACTTTCTGAAGAGCCTGATCTTGCTGCCTGTTGTACATGGCTGACATTTTCTCTTCCTTTTCTTTGATCAGCTTCTTCTGGTAGGCATCCTGCATGGCAAGGAGCCTTGAACGATGTGGAGCACTCACATGACGGTTGGCATCAGCTCTCTGAGCCTGCGCCACAGGTATGCGAGAATGAGCAGCAGGAGCTGTCCTACGCATGCTGTCTGGATATCCACCTGGATACCTGACTGATCCAGAACTGGCCATCACCGTGTAGCAGATCTGAAAAACAAAGAGAATTTCACATTTTAGGTGCAATACCGGCCACTGTTATGCATAAGGAATTCTGCTATAAATAACTTAGCAAAACAAAAGCCAAGTCTTTCTTAGTTTTTTCTTTCTTACACATCTTAGAATCATAGTGCTTGGGGCTATAAAAAGGATAATTCACTACCGCCCATATACCAGTACCGGTAATCATTACATTGAATCATTCATTGATTCATTGTCATTGCATTGTACGATTGTTTCTTAATGAATAACTTAATCTTTCTCAACTAGAGTAGACCCTAGGTCTGGGTCTAGGATAAACAATTTTCGTTTAATAAACTTAAAGACAAGCTGTTTGGACAACACAAGTCAGCATGGCCAATTAATTAAATACATATACCGGTTAATGATTGATATAATTATCAGGCTTCTCCATCAAACAGTACGGTAAGTTAGACGAATATAGACTATACCTAACTCTGCTCAGCTGCTCAGCTTTATGCCAAGCGGGTGGTCATGCAAGGTCATGCAGTGTACCGTGACTAGTCCGCCAGGCCAGCGGAATCGTCAGCTAGCGTCGACTGTCGACCGGATCGTGCTAGCTGCACTGCTGCTGGTCGTTGATCATCAGTTTGCAGTTCCCACACAGTCAAAGACCAAGAACAAACACTTTAAAGAGCATTAATGTATTCCTAAGCAAACACTCTCAAATAAGATCAGTCTTTTAGTATGAAATATAACGAGAAAATTGATAAATTCCAAAAAGAGACGCAACGAAAATACCACCGTTGCTATAGAGATCGTAAACTATGCGGATCGATATATGGGCGACCGGACGTGCTGCACGACTCTCGCACATACAACACGTAATTCGTGAGCGTAAATGCACGCGCGCACATTGTCCACAGAATGATACCCATTTCTCGGAAAATGGGAAGAAGAAAAAAAAAAAACTGACAGCTAGTAAACAACCAATTTTTAACCCACTGCACTGGGCAACATAGGCAACTGACTTGCATATTGCTGGATAAAATGAACCCGACTGCCGTTGGGCAATTTAAAGCCCCACTGTCCTACTTGTAGCTACTTGCTCCCTCTATATTATAGAAAACGTCCCCAATCGGTGCCTGTTGGTCCCCCGGCCACTCCTTTTCATGGTTGAGAGCTGAGTTAATGAGATAGCCACCTGTCAGTGACCTCGCTGTGTGGTCTAATCCCTTTTGGCCCAGTAGTATTGACGGTCTTTAAATGTTATTTAGTTGGGCAAATTTAATTACCCAATCACATTTTACCAAACTGAGAGTTTGCTCAATTATTTTAGTTCGGTAATCTTACCCAATAAGAGTAGTTTACCAATTTGTTAACAACTACCAAATACTATTTTACTCAAAATATTTTACTCAACATTTCTAACCCAGTCGGCGGCAAGGGGGGGGGGGGGCAAATCTTGAGAAAACATTTAGCGGCGAACGGCGAATAAGCGGGGGGGGGCGGGGGGGGGGTAAGAGCACTTGTTTTTTTAGCAGTGATTCATCCAGCCGGTGAATAAGCGGGGGGGGGGATGGATGCTTTCTTTGGAGAAGAAAAATTATACAAATAACCGTTTTTTTTTTTTGGGGGGGGGGGGCTATAAGGTGGGGGGAGGGGCGGTAGGATCGGCCCGTGGATAGTAACCACCAATGAACCCCTAGGTAAATAAGTATAGATGCTAGTTCTTTCCAAACCGATATTGAAAAATCCGAATTTAATGGTTCTCGGGCAAATTTTGCTCAAGAACCATATGATCTGGGTCATAGACCAGTTGTTAGTTTTATTTTGGGTGTTCAGTCAAATTTGACATTTTACGCCTATTCTGGTTCTTTAGTTAAATCACACATTGGAATTAATTGTCGAATTGTAATAGTTCTCAGTCATACGAAAGGCAATACAAGCTTTTATATTCCCTTTAGAATTTATGATGTGTTTTGTGATTAAAAAAAAAAAATCATAAATATTTGTATTTCCGTTCGCCAACTCTGCAGTAAATTTTACCAAACTATCCGATGTACCTTAATTTTGTGCCCATTTTTCTTCTTTCAATACTTGAAGAAAATGATAAATTTCTGAAGAAAAGAAATGGTTATTAATTTTAATTTATCATGCATCCCCCCCCCCCATGTGATGGCCACAGGGTATGGGATGATAACCTAAATGTTGGAAAAATTTGACCAACGTCATTGATTTACCCAATAAAACATTGAGCAATATGCATATTGCTAAACTTTGTTAGGCCCAGGGTAAACAATAACCACTGATCATTTGATGTTCGACCGACCGACCAATATCTTTATCCAATAGTTTTACTTTGTATCAGATTCAGATTGGATACGATTTCGGCTTCATCGACTTTTCTTTTCTTTTAACCCTTTGCCTACGGGAACCGGGTTGTTCTTGTACTAAGCCAATGGGAATGACAGGATTCAGTAGTCAAAGAGTTAACCAACTATCACATGCCCATGGGCAATACTTATTTACCACACTTGATGACAATAATTGAAAATATTGGGCAACTAATTATCCCAGACCCTACTTTATCAAGTAGGCTATACTCTGTTGGTAAATATATGCCCATTTCTAAGGTGAAGATATTAAGTCTTCAGCTGAATTGGTTAAAATAGCTTAGAAAATTGCAAATTTTTAACCAACCAGTGTTAATTTACCCTATTATATTTTAAGAGTTTATAATTATGTATAGGATCCCTATGTACAGCTCTTTATCTTGATCCCTATTTCCTTAAAAAGAATAATAAAGAAGATCAATCTAAAGTTAGAGACCTGAGGCTTATATTTTTTAGATTTGGGGACACATTGGAAAAAAAGAAGAAGGAGGAGAAGGAGGAGGAGGACTCGGAGCTATAGCCTGGAGGAGCCTATAGGAGGAGGAAGAAAATGACTCGGAAGAAGAAAACGACATCATCCTAGTGGACCATAATACCAACTGTGCGATTCTGATGGAAAAAAAACAAGTCTCGAAGACCTACGTCTTGCCTCACCGATCCTTTTCCAATGTTGGGGAGAGCATCAAAATGTAAAATGTCAACAGCCTATTACAAGTTTAGCCTGCGCCTGGGAACCCCCTCCAGATTCACACTTGCACTGCGCATGCGCGGCACTTCTAAGTCGACAGCTTAGCTAAGCTGATAAAAGTAGAAGAAAGTCAAAGTTTGCCTCGATTATTCAGGTTATATACCTCAAAACCTAAAAGATTATAGAAAGCAGAAGTATGGCAGAAGGCGAAGAGGATGATTACATGTCAGATAGCTTTCTTGTAGAAAGGTGAGCTTATTGTTACCTGGATTTTAGTAGTAAATGCCCCACACGTTTACATTTGTGTAAGCAAAACATCTTATATTGCAGAATTAAGATAAATAATTAACACACGTAGCCGTAGGAGCATCACTATCCGGGCTGTGTAGTAAAAGCTTTGCTTTTGATTCTCACCATTTCAAACACCACTGTCCAAAACTCAACTGATTTCACTCAAAATTGATACTTTAGTGACAATTGATGACACCTAAATAGCAGTAGAAAATACTTTTTAAAAAAAACTTACTAGGGGGTCTAGGTCTAGACTAGTCTAGGTCTAGGTCTAGATCTAGACTGATGTAATAAAAAGAATAATTTAAAAACTCAAATTGTAAGTCTACTGTCAAACTTTGCTTACAGCCGCATCGGCATGATTGTGTGCAGTCTATGCAATATTGTGTGGTGTGTATATTTGTGTATAGGTCTAATAATACCTGCCTCGAGCTCGGCCCTCACAGCAAGTATGCAATGCTAGAGGTCAATACGCATTAGCATTGACTCTCTTGCTGGAGTGAGATAATAACATGTAATTAATAGACCTCTACGTAAGTCAGAAAGTGGGGTCTAATATAAAAAGAGACTTCATTTCACTTAGCATTATGTTTCATGAATTCATCATTATCATTAGTATTATTCGTGCATATCAAGAAGAGACAAGACATCAATAATATAGTGTAGGTAACTTCACTTGAACATCCCCTGGGATGGGCATACATGTTAAATGTAGGAGCAGTTTTAATGAAGCTATTGCTTCTTCCTATTCTTCCTTGTCACATTCTTGTTAAATTACAGCAAGGAAACAAAACCACGGCAGCTAGCATGGGGGAAGACGGCTCGTCTAAATAAAATGCATGCCAAGATCAAGGCAACTACCGAAAAGAACAAATCGAAATTTATACCAATGAAGGTGCGTGAAGAAGAGCAGAGGCAAAAAGGTCTTAATAGTGCAATATCAACACAGAGCAAAGGGTTTGCTATGCTGCAGAAGATGGGCTACAAACAAGGCACAGGACTTGGAAAGACAGGTTAGTTCTGTATCATGTCAGTATGTTACAAACTTAAAACAGAAATATTTTGCTTTGTTCACGTTGTTATTTTTATTGTTAGTATGTGACTATTATGTAAATTATTTACCACTCAAGGTACCAGCTGGATCATGACAACTGAAGTCAAATTAAAGGATATTTTCATAAGTACAGATATTGCCTGTTCATATTATTATCTGAAGCATACACATGAAGAATTAATAATGCTCTTTTGGATATTTGGTGCCCTTTTTATTGAGATGTTTATTATTGTTTTAATTTTGCAGGTAGTGGAAGAGCAGAACCAGTGGGCATTGAAATAAAGACAGGTAAGAAGATTATGTTTTGACACTGCTTTCTGATGATTCACCTCTGGAATAAAGTTCTTCAAATTTTGTATTCATCATTTATTTGTTGCAACAATTGGTTGGATTTCATCAACACTTTTGTGTGGATTCTGGCACTTATAATCTTATGTATTGTCTTGTAAAATGTCTCAATTTCAGTTACTGCTGATTTGATATACTTTAATTCAAAGAGTTTTGATGGAAAAGAGTTGAGAAAATTTCTTATTTTTAAAAGTTTGAATGAAGAGACCCTGTCAGATCAATATTGGGCCAAAAGCACTACATGTACATAAATCTATCTGGTTTTTGAAAAAGTCATGTTACTGGGATATGAAAAATGTCTCCTTTTTTTGCCCTTTAAATGTAACCTTTCAGGCAGAGGAGGACTTGGCCAGGAAAAAGAGCTTAAGAGGAAACAAGAAGAGATGGCAAAAATGAGGGAAGTAATGGCCCACAAGAGAGCCAAGATGGCCGTTCATCGCAAGGGAAACTTCCTCCAACAGATGAGCGAGAGATTCTCAGAGAAGGAGGTGCAGAAGGATCTATACAACAGTCAAAAGGCCTGTGCACATCTTGATCATGTACAGGTAGAATACACAATGCTAAATGTTTCTTTGACTAATTGTGTTTGTATCAGAGAAGTGTAGGAAAAACATTTTGAAATAAATTGAGGCTGTTTAGGCATTTTCCATTCAGTTACTATTAAACATTTATAAAGTTTTTAAATTAACAGTACAAGTCTATAACAGAGTTTGAGAAATTAGATTCAACTAATCTGATCTGGACTAATATTTTGTCTGCCCAGAATTTTTTTTTCATTCGTTCATACCATAAAAATAGTTTTTTGTTAACATGCACAACCCAGCATGCATGTAGTAGAAAGGTTTCCCCTTTTTGGATCGTTTGTGTATGTGACTCACTAGATCACCTTATTAAATTGATATTTATCATTCATTACAGGGTTTAAGTGAACCAGAGGTTATTTGGTACTGGCCAAAAAAGATGCTACCAGAAGATGAAGTCGAGAATGAAGAAGAGGAAGAAGAAGAAGAAGAGAAAGAGGAAGAAGAGCAAGAGGAAGAAAAGGAGAAAGAGGCAGATGAATTATCAGTGAGTTTTGTTTTCCTTGTAAACAATGATATCTTCTCTTATGTTGTATGGTTTGCCCAACATTATTGATGGGTGACAATATCTTACAATCATTTTTTTTCTCCAAATCCAATATTCCCAATAATTGACCTAATATACTCAACATCCACACTATTATTATTACATATTTCTCCTTTACCAATATTCAAAGTCATGAAATTCATACTTCACTGACATCAGAATTGTCAGCATCACAAACATCATTTCAGCCATTTTATCATCACCACCATTACCATTTGTTATATTCAGGATATCATCAGCTTCATCATCATTTAGGCTTGATTTTGACATCATCAAAATCATCATCTTGTCACCAGTTATTTATTATCTACAATTATTGTAAGCTCCTTTATAATTTCAGCCATGATTTTACCATCACTACAATGTCATGATTATAATTTTTATCAAAGCAACATTCTTTTCAGATGCATTATACAAATCTTATATCTTCAGTCTTTCTTGTATGTCTCATTTTGATTGAAAAGTTTTGTTATTTTCCTTGTTTGAAATGTGTTTAGAATTCGGATAAACTGAGTGAGCTAACCCAATACTTGAGGACACAGCACCGATACTGCGTTTGGTGTGGCACTGCATTCAATGGTAAGTGTGATGTTATTTTGCATTTGCCATCGTAGCACGCAAGAAAAAATTCTGTGCTTCGTACAAAATAGACATTCTTCATTATATGACTGGTCATTTGGAAAAGTTCACAGCAAATGCAAATTACGTTCTGTTTCCCTATTTTAAAAATTGTGTACATGCATTGTGAAATCATGAGTGCTATTGCATACAAAACTTGGGTCATTACAAATTTACAATAAATAATGTAATGTCACATAAAAGGTTTTGTTAAATAACAAATTCAATAAATTTAAAAGATTTACTATCTACTAGCTTTGCTAAGGTAATGATTCTACATCATATTTTTTGTCTTCTTCTCCAATTGGGATAGTAATAATGTTTTTTTGACCCGTCATCATTTTGAATGTAGACTTTATTGGGAAAGAAATAGTTTATATAAAGCTTCCAGACACTAATATTCACATTTCCTGTTGTTTTATATTTCTATGTGTGTCATTACATTAAGTGACAAGTCTCTGTACACATGAAATATTGTTTGATTGTAAAAAAAATCTTAGATATTTAGAAACAGCTTTAGCAATTTTTGACAATTTATTTTACATTTTAATTATGTACACAGCACATCTCTTGTTCTTAACCTCTCATCAACAGATGACAAAGATTTGGAAGAAAACTGCCCAGGAAACAATGCTGATGTACATAGATAACACAGAACAGAGGAATCCATCAATTCTATTTATTACATATGCCCTGGTCCAGTGTTTGTCCATTTCTACTGTCACTGCACTTTAACAAACAGTGATAGAATACTGACAGCTGTTGGAAGCTTCTGAAAGACAAACATGTGGCAGATGATTGGGATGCTGACTTGAATGAAGCCAGTAGGATAATTTATGCATGTATGGTCATGCCTAGACAATATATTACCAAGGCTAAACACAATCAGGGGTTTGGTATGTGATCGACCCCTGAAAGTTCCTCTGGAACTTCTGAAATGTTAAATAGTGCCTGGTGCACATTGACCCTAATGTTCTGCTCGGGACTCCAAGAGTGCAAGTTTCTGTGATGTATAGAACCAAATCAAAGAATCAATTGTAAAACTATACCGTACACATGTTTGATGCATAATGACCATTGAACACTGATGAAGAAAACAAAAACAAGTATATGTTAAGTGATAGGAAAGATGTAATCTTTCTTTTTAATTATTTATATTTCAAATCTTTTTTACAAAATATTTTGGGAAAACATTGTAAACATGTAAATGGTGTAAAAGCAGACGATTTCTAGATATTTAACATAAATGCAATAGTAAAATACATAATTTTCAATTTACATACCGGGTAATTGAGGTATGGTATCTGTACTTTGAAGAGGAGTATCCCTTTTGCCTGCCTAAATAGTCCCCACCTGAATTATGGAGGGATCAAGGAAATTACAGAAGTACTAAACACCATAGAAAAACAACTGACCAGCAAAATTATAATGTTGATTACAAGTTATAACAGTGTTATTTACAATGGGGTCTCACCATCAGCCCACCATAGAATGATATATGTATACCGTAGATACAATTTCATATTTACCCTCAGAATACATGCCACGTATAGTGGGTCTTGAAGTATAATGGGCTAACCAGCAGAGTTCAATAATTGATGTTGGGTATCAAAATCACACATTGTCTAACAAAAAGTACCCAGTAATCAGACCCCTTGTTGATGGAAATAAAAACATGATGACTCCAGCACTTAGTTTGACCCAATGATCTTTCTGTTTTCAAACTGGAGGTATTGGCCATCACTTTTGTTATTTGTTTAAAGTGCATTTATTATTACATTCACCTCATATACATGTTATACAATTTGTAAATTGTCTCATGATTGCCAAACATAGCTTAAATACATGTATATGTTCATGTACACACATGATAATGGGCTGACATCATCTCTCTGGTGTATACTGATTTGAAACTTCCTTCGGTTCAAGGCCTTGAAGCTCTCGAAACCTTCGCTGCTGGATCATCATTTTCGCACGGGTATATCTGCAGTAGGTGCTGTAAAATATGGAAAAAAGTAACCCACCTTAATGTTTTTGGAGAGAAATCAAATACAAATATTTGATTTTAAATGTCTGAAATTGTATTTGGAAATTGATTTAAATGCTTTTCTATGTGCTTTAAACAAAAAAATCAACATTGTACATCGTCCAGGATATGCAAATGTGTAATGCATTGTGTATTTAAAGAAGTAGGCAGTTTGGATCGGTTCTTAGAGTCACTGGGACCAGCAATAGGGATATTGCACGTCCTGATATTAGAATATGTTCAATATATTCAATAGAGCCATTATATGCATAGATGTGACAATACAAGAGAAAGAAAATACTTTTATCTGCAAAACACATTTATTTATCTTTGTGGGTAGTTTTGGACTTGCCACCTTCCTGCCTGTAAAAATTTGGACAAATAATCTGTCATTTTATTTGAAAATTGAATAGTACCTATAATTATATAAATATTTTTTTGGATAACGTTATCATTATCCAGAAAATAAAATGCACTATATATGTACATGTAGGCATTAACATCCATACATGTACGTGTCCCAGATTTTCAGTAAACAACCATTCATTGAATAAGATTTCACAGAAAAATACAATTTTCTTAATGTTACTAAAATGTCATAGGAATGAGGTGAAAACTTACAAAGAACCCAAGGTGACGGCCACCAACGAAAGGATACCCATATCTGTTGAGCGCTTCACTCGACCTATATTCATGAAATTACAAAAAATAATTAATACCTGAAGTAGGGGAAGTGGGGGAAAAGGAATTAATAACAAGTTTGAGAAGCTTTCCTTGCTAGGCACTTTAAAATTTGTCGGTGCAAAAATAAGAATAAGTATGTGTGCAAAAGGTCCTTGACCTGATGATAGAATAAGAACGTTCTGTTGGCTGGAGATGTAAAATGGCAGTTTATTACCCAAGCAATATAAAGTTTTTATAAACATAGGAAAAGTCTCAGGAGTGACAAAAGGATTAATAGCTGCCTAACTAATGAGGGTCTTTCAGCTATTTTGTCCACTATTTGGGGACATTAACAGTGCTAAAATAAATCCAAGCCTATCTGAAATTTCAGTTATAAAGTGAATCTGTAAATTCATATTTTTCATATTATATTCATATTGAAAGAATATGTGAGACATGAAATACAACATTTTAAAAGTGTTGCAATTAAGTAATATTGTAATTATGATGATAAAAAAATAAGATTACAATTACTGCATGTTCTGAAATACTTTTCCTAAAGTTAGTTGGTTCTTTGTAAAAAGATCACTTTCTTTGATAAAAATGAGTGATCTTAATCCAAGCCTATTTGTTTTTTCCTTTATAACTTACTTGTAAGGAGAAATGTTACCAGTCCAACACTAAACCCTCCTCCTACGCCATATAGGAGGGCAGTCCTCATGCAAGGTACTCTGTGAATCTCTCCGGTTACACGAGACAACAAAGATTCCTGAAGAAAAAATTATAATTAGGGGTAACTTAGTAAAATTGCTCACAGTAACATAAACTTTGTTGCTGGAGCATGTGTCGAAGAATTGGTGATTAAAAATTATTATTTTTATTAACTTAACAATGCTTAATAATACACCTCTTCATGGTTAAGGCCGCCATTTTAATATGCGCGTAAACATTGCGTCATCAATGTTTTCAGATGCACATGTATATTGTTGCGTTACTGCCTGTGCTGTGCGCCAGGCGCGGATCCAGGGGGGGGGCCGAGCGGGCCTTGGCCCCCCCCGCAAAAAAAAAGAGAGAGAAAAAAGGAAAAGAAGAGAAAGGGAAAGAGGAGAGAAAGAGAAAGAAAGAAGAGGAAGAAGAAAAGAAAAGGGGGAAGAAGGAGATCGGGGGGCCGAAAGGGCTTTGCCTCCAGGCTGTTGACCCCCCCCCCCCCCCCCTAAAAAAACAAATAAGAGAGAAGGAAGGAAAGGGAAAGGAAAAGAGGAGATACTGGCGTACTGACGGGTAGGGGGGGGGGGGGGGGGGGGTTAGTGGAAATCAAATTCAAACGTGGTTTATTTCTAATTCCACAACGGTGGATTACAAATAATGCTGAAATGACATCATTTCCGAGATTTTTCCACACTTTTTAGTAAATTATACGTTTGTATGTGTTTGTTGGAAAATGACAAATTCCTAAATTTGCAGCCAGGCAAGAAATATGATTCTTGAGATTCCTACACGTCAGGGCCCGAGGTACGGTGGGGATCGGGAGCCTCGAGCTCCCCCCCCCCCTTCCCCCTCAGCATTTTTTTTGAAAAAGTAAATTAAAGAGAAATAAAATAGAATGAGAGCAAGAAAGAAAGAATAGTTAACTGCCAGTGTTGACAAATAATGAGGCATCAAAATATGCTCATCTGACCGTGATTAAATACCTAAAACCCCTAAGCTTCCGTGGGCTCTGCCCCCTGGATCCCACCAAGGGTCCTACGGCGGGCCCTTAGATGCTCATCTGAGGGTAATTTAATGCCTAAAACCCCTGATTTTGGGGGGCTCCGCCCCCGGACCCAACGCCAAATAGTCACCTGCCTGTGTCACGAAATAATAAGGTATACAAAAAAAAAAAGCTCATATGACCTTAATTAAACGCCTAAAACTTCTGAGTTTCCGGGGCCGGCTTCGCCGCCGCCCCAGACAAGGATTAACAATCGAGAACGGTAAAGCGAATCGTCTTTTTTCTCTCATAATCTTATGAAACGTGAAGCTTCCGCGCTTAGCGCGGGAGGGGGAACCTGAATTCAGACTAGGATTCAGAGGCGAGAACGGTAATACCAACCTTTTATGATTTAATAAAACGTAAAAGCTTCCGCGCTTCGCGCGGGATGGAGGGGGGGGGAACTTAATTCAGACGAGGATTATTTTCGAGAGCGGTACAACGAATCGTCTTCTTTCTCTGATGATTTAATGAAAATTAAAAGCTTCCGCGCTTTGCGCGGGAGGGGGGAACCTGAATTCAGACGAGGATTGAGAGTCGAGAACTGAACAGCAAATCGTCTTTTCTCTCTCATAATCTTATGAAACTTTAAAGCTTCAGCGCTTCGCGTGGGAGGGGGGGGGGGGACCTGAATTCAGACGAGGATTAAGAGTCGAGAACAGTACAACGAATCACCTTCTTTCTTCAATAGTTTAATGAAACGTAAAAGCTTCCGCGCTTCGCGCGGGAGGGGGAGAATCTAAATTCAGACGAGGATTAAGAGTCGAGAACTGTTCAGCCAATCGTCTTCTTTCTCTCATAATCTTATGAAACTTAAAAGCTTCCGCGCTTCGCGCGAGAGGGGGGGGGGGACCTGAATTCAGACGAGGATTAAGAGTCGAGAACTGTACAGCGAATCGTCTTCTTTCTCTAATGATTTAATGAAACGTAAAAGCTTCCGCGCTTCGCGCGGAGGGGGGGGGGAGGGAACTGAATTCAGACGAGGATTAAGATTCGAGAACGGTACAACGAACCGTCTTCTTTCTTTTATAGTTTAATGAAACGTCAAAGCTTCCGCGCTTCGCGCAGGAGGGGGAGAGGGGGAGAGGGGGAGGGAACTGAATCTAGACAAGGATTAAGAGTCGAGAACGGTACAACGAATCGTCTTCTTTCTCTTATGATTTAATGAATCGTAAAAGCTTCTACGCTTCGCGCGGAAGGGGTAAACTGAATTCAGACGAGGATTAAGAGTCGAGAACTGTACAACGAATTGTTTTGTTTCTCTAATGATTTAATGAAACATAAAAGCTTCCGCGCGAAGCGCGGGGGGGGGGGGGAGAATCTAAATTCAGACAAGGATTATTTTCGAAAACGGTACAACGAATCGTCTATTATCTCTAATGATTTAAGGAAACTTAAAGTGGGGGGGGGGGGGGAACCTGAATTCAGACAAGGATTAAGAGTCGAGAACGGTACAACGAATCGTCTTCTTTCTCTTATGATTTAATGAATCGTAAAAGCTTCTACGCTTCGCGCGGAAGGGGTAAACTGAATTCAGACGAGGATTAAGAGTCGAGAACTGTACAACGAATCGTTTTGTTTCTCTAATGATTTATTGAAACGTAAAAGCTTCCGCGCTTCGCGCGGGAGGGGGGGGGGAGAATCTCAATTCAGACGAGGATTATTTTCGAAAACGGTACAACGAATCGTTTTGTTTCTCTAATGATTTAAGGAAACTTAAAAGCTTCCGCGCTTCGCGCGATAAGCAAGGGGGGGGGGGGACCTGAATTCAGACGAGAATTTAGAGTTGAGAACTTTACAACGAATCGTTTTCTTTCTCTAATAATTTAATAAATCCTAAAATTTTTCGCGCGTCGCGCGAGAGGGGAAAAACTAAATTCAGACGAGAATTATTTTCGAGAACTGTACAACGAATCGTTTTGTTTCTCTAATGATTCAATGAAACGTAACAGCTTCCGCGCTTCGCGCGGGAGAATCTAAATTCAGACGAGGATTATTTTCGATAACGGTACAACAAATCGTTTTGTTTCTCTAATGATTTAAGGAAACTTAAAAGCTTCCACGCTTCGCGCGATAAGCGAGGGGGGGGGGAACCTGAATTCAGACGAGAATTTAGAGTTGAGAACTCTACAACGAATCGTTTTCTTTCTCTAATAATTTAATAAATCCTAAAATTTTCCGAGCGTCGCGCGAGAGGGGAAAAACTAAATTCAGACGAGCATTATTTTCGAGAACTGTACAACGAATCGTTTTGTTTCTCTAATGATTCAATGAAACGTAACAGCTTCCGCGCTTCGCGCGGGAGGGGGGGGGGAGAATCTAAATTCAGACGAGGATTATTTTCGAAAACTGTACAACGGATCGTTTTGTTTCTCTAATGATTTAAGGAAACTTAAAAGCTTCCGCGCTTCGCGCGATAGGGGGGGGAACCTGAATTCAGAAGAGAATTTAGAGTTGAGAACTCTACAACGAATCGTTTTCTTTCTCTAATAATTTAATAAACCCTAAAATTTTCCGCGCTTCGCGCGAGAGGGGAAAAACTCAATTCAGACGAGATTTATTTTCGAGAACGGTACAACGAACCGTCTTCTTTTTCTAATAATTAAATGAAACGTCAAAGCTTCCGCGTTTCGCGGAGGAGGGAGGGGGAAATTCGCCCCTCCCTGCACCGACCCCCCCCCCCCCGCATCACGTCACTGTTGGTCACCATTACGTACCAATATTTGGCTCGCATAATTTCAAATTTGGGCCCCCCCCCTAAGAAATCCTGGATCCGCGCCTGCTGTGCGCTTACATCATATTTGCATGGGCGCCATCTTACATCTACATCTAAGGTGGTACTGGACAGGACCAATTGGTATATACGTCCAGATTTCCGTGGCATCGCAAACTGTCAACAAACATCACAACTGATGCAAAGTTCAAAAAAACAAAATAATAAGGTGCTCATAAAATGAGTGGGTTGTAGACATCATCTAATTTATAGATGAAGTAGAGCCACATTGACGCTCTATCCCGCCTGTGTACAGCTGGGCTGAGTGGTCATTCTGCATGTAGCTCCACACTTTGGTATTGAAGGACTTGGCCGATGTTGACTCTTTGATGATGGTGGCTGGTAGTCGATTCCATTGCTGAATGGTACGAGGATAGAAGCTGTTCTTGTATGCTTCGGTCCTGGCAGAGTAGTTGATGTACTGGCTTGGTCTCTGACTACGGGTGACTGGTCTGTTGGGGTTGTTGGCGACTGGGATAAACTTCTCTGGGATGGTAATCGGGAGTTCATGAGAGTTGATCTTGAACAGCATGGTAAGACGTGCAACTGTCCTCCTATCTTGAAGTGAAGGCCACTTCAGCTCCTGCAGCATCTGGCTGACGCTAGCTGTAGGCTGATAGTTCCCTTTCACAAAACGGGCAGCTTTCCTTTGCACTGATTCAAGGGCTGAAATGTGTTTCTGGAAGTAGGGATCCCATGCTGTACACGAATACTCCAAGATTGGCCGTACCAGGGAAGTATAAGCCTGCTGCTTGATCTTCTCAGGACACTTGTAAAGATTCCGTTGAAGGAAGTTGAGCGATTTCCGGGCTTTGCTTGTGACATTGTTGATATGTACACCCCAGTCCATCTTGGAAGAGAATTCCACGCCAAGGTATGGGTGATTGTCAACTTGCTGCAGATCAGCCCCTCTCATGCTGTATGTTGTCTCAATACTGCGACGTTTCTTGGTGATACGGAGTAGGGAGCACTTTGCAGGGTTGAATCTCATCTGCCAATCAAGGGACCATTTTGATAGGGTGTCAAGATCCTCTTGAAGAAGTGCAGCATCCTGTTCAGACTGGATTTCTCTGTAGATGAGGCAGTCATCTGCGAACAGTCTGATGGAGGACGAGATATTAGTAGTGATGTCATTAATGTACAGTATGAAGAGGAGTGGGCCTAACACGGTACCCTGGGGAACACCGGAGTCCACAGACACGTCAGATGATCTCTCGCCATCAACTACAACAGCCTGTGTACGATT